GCGACTGGGCCGTCGGGTCGAAACATTTTAGGTGAGACGGCACTTAATTCCGATTGACAATGTACCTTAGGACGGAAGTTGTCCCGACACAATGAGTTGTTGACAATGAGTTGTCTCTTTGTAGCAGGCAAGAATGGCTCACCTAATAGGTGTAATAATGAGGTTACCACTTCCGGCCTTAGAAGTGGTCAATATAGTGGTCCTATAAACGGCTAAAGCCCGCCACTGGAAAACAAAATTATGAAATAATATGGATATATCCTTTAAGCAAAGAGTAAGTTCGTATTGTATGGTGTTAATGTCTTAATTCGTTTTGGTACACTGCGAAAATGAAAGGATAGTTTTATATCTTCCGTTCTACTGAGCCGATTGTCGGAATTCAAATTGCGTTTTTCATGTCTCGAAAGCTCGACTTAGGATATATATTATATTTATATATAGCATTGTTATAATATAGGTATTTTGACACAGACTCTGACTTTTTCCAAAACGATATGCCAATATTTTTCCATATTTCGATTCTACCACTCAAATTAAGCCTAAATACTAAACGTTATAACATTTGGTGTGAAATTTACGGAGAAATTCAAAAATTTAATTTATCGTAGTTTTTTAGTTTGCGCCAAGAATAATTCACTTGGCGAGCATCTTGAATTATAGCAGTCTATTTTCCTTTCCTTTTTTTTCATTGCAGACAAGCGAAAAAAAATCATCTTTCATACTTTCAAATATTTTTAACAGTGAAGATACAATGTAAATCTTGTTTCCTCGAAGAACTTTTAAAATTGTTATGGAAAAAGTTAGACTCCTTACAATAAAGTACTAAACTGAAGAATAGCGAATGTTGAAAACACTACGGATACTTTAAGATTAAAGTAAGGTTTATTTCAACACTACGCCAGTATTTTAACGAAATCCTATGTTATTACTTAAAATATTTTAGCTCAAAACAGACTTAAGTCCCGAATGGTATATAAGTCTCGAATCAGCATTTTGCGTTGAGTTACTCTAAACAGTGTACCACTTTTCAAATTGTTGCCACCCAATATAATCGCCCTGTGCTATAGTTACAGAAATTAAATAATGAAGTATCTGTATGAATGTTTTTCGTACTGTGAAAAACATTGATACCTAGATTCCTCAAAGTTTTAAATAACGCAGTTCTTCCACCAGAACACGCGCAATCTGCAAGCCCGAATTTTGATTTTCGACTTTGTTTTATTATCTATTTCATATTTTGTAAATCTTTAACGAACTTTTGATTAACAAACTCAACAATTTCAAAGCAAGCAGTGGCAATACTGTATGCAATAAAACTTTTTTATCCCCAGCGAGCGAGAATATACGTCGAAATTCTAAAGATATATTGTTTTTAAATATTTTGTGATTTTGCTGTTAAAACGAATTTTACGCGACATAAGCTCGAAGAAAGTTACATTTAATAAATAAAGTAAGCAAACAAAACGTTACTAATAAAAAGAGTAAAAAGCAGTTTTGTAAAACTATCTTAGTAATAAACACTACATTTACATGATGAACTAAGAAAAAAACATAAAAGTGTCTAGAGAGCGCCTAGAAAAACCTTAAAAACCCTTTTGGGCGAATGTTGAAATCTGAAAGCTTTCAAAATTTTTTACATGCTTTTTAATTTTATTTTCAGTTGCTTATTTTGTGAAAATGGCATCTTTATAAGCAACCACAAACGACCAAATGTAATTTCTATAGCTATATCAGTCACTAAATTTATAATTCTTTCAAATAATCTTCGAATAATTTGCTGTATGTAATTGCATAACATAATGTGCAAATAAGTCTAAGTTTAATAATAAGTGCGAATATCAGTAATTGTTCTGCTGATTTTCATAATATTTAGTAGAATTCACATTCTGATTAATTTACGAAATTATTAAACTTGTTAACATAATATTCCAATGCATTAACGATTCTTAAATTCGTTAATGTAATTAAGAAATTCAAAAGAGTTTTACCAAATTCTTAAATTCGTTAATGCAGTTAATACATTTGAATTTTTATAAACAAATGTGCCAAATTTATTAACAGAAATGTTATGTCAATCGAAATCCAGTTGAGTAGCAAAATTACTGTTATAATCTAGTTAAGAAGAATAATCATGAGTGAATTAATTGACTCATTTTAGGCAGTCTATTTCCATTTGCACCATTTTGCAGTCAACAGAAATATATTTTTGACGTTTTTATGCATTAATGGATGTCATAATAACTTCTAGATGAGTTACATTGTACTGAGAAAGAATGGTAATTTCCTAAAGTGAAAACAACCAGAAAGTGAGCAGTACAGAATACGAACCAAGAAAAATCCTTATCAGGCATTACGAATTATATGAGATGCAGTGGAGATATTGGCAAAATGGAATATAAGAAACAAATTTAGGGCAGCCAGATATTTGTTTTAAATTTTTAATATCATCCTGTGTTAAATCAAATTTCTTTATGTGCCTGTAGTGTATTTAATGCTTAGAAAAAACATTGCTCTTCATGCTCTAAAAAACCAGTCATCAGAAGCCGTCTTAATATCTTCCCCCATCCAATACGCATTCAGCGAAATTCTTTTTTAAATTTTTAAACAGGATAAATCATTTGAAGCAGTGGTGCCCAACCTTTGCCAACTAGGGCAGTGGTGCCCAACCTTTGGCCTATCGCGAGCACATTTCCAAAATATGAACATTTTTGTTAAACATATTTCCAATCTTGTGTGATGCATCTGAAATATTAATTTCGGCAAATGGGTTTGAGATGAATAATAATATTGGTTGAACTGTATGAAAATCAGAGAAGCGGAGTTCAAAATTATTTTCCAGTGCATTTAGGTTTTCCAAGTATTTCTCTGTTTCAATTGGCTTGCGGTTATTAACATGGCTTGATAAAATCTCAAAATGAGCTAAATTTGTTTCTTTCATCTGATTTATTCACAAATTTAACTTTATCTGAAAAGCAGTTACAGTCCCAGTCAATTGAAAAAGGTTTTTTATCTTTTCTCTGGAGAACTTCGTTCAATTTGTTCAGTTTAGCTGTTATATCCGTGAGAAAATACAGATCGGATAACCAATTATTATCGTCAAATTATTTATAACTTTCGTTTCCGGATTCCCCAAACTGCTTCATTGGCGAAAGAAATTCTACAAATCGTTGAAGTACTTTTCTCTTTCTGAGCCATCCAACATCGGAATGAAGTAATAAGATTCCATGTTTGCTATCAAGTTTATCAGTCAGCAATCAATCATTTTATAACGTCTTGCAAGATATCTCCTATGACTATAAATACTTACCATATTTTAACAATTTAGAAATATAAAAGAATGACTATTTTTAAAATATCTTTTGTTCGTAGTACCTAATCGGGCTGGCGAGCACAAGGTTGGACACCACTGATCTAGGTAATATTAAAGATAAGACATCACTTGAAATCTTGTAGCAGTTACAAAAAATAAGTACTTTTCTATTATCGCAACCGGATTAAATCTATTTGTGTGTATGTGCACACACACATACGTACGTAGATGCATACACACATTCATACATACGTGCTTGCATACATTTCTGAATCCGAATAAGGATATTATCAAAAAATAATTGCTCCCTAAGAAAGGAGCCTGTGTCTCATCGCTCGGAAAGTCCGCAGATGTTTGGTCGAAATCTAAGCCAATTAAATCTGCGCTTTTGACTAATATTTAAAAGCTGACTTTTATTATACTGTTAGTATTCAAACCCATGCAAAGTAATTCCTTAGTTTCGGTATACATTTACTTCAGTATGCAAGATTTGATAACAAGTACACTTTAAATAGTTTTATTTTTCTTTCATGACATGCATGGTCTTAACGTGAAGTAATCGATTCAGGGAATTACCACATTTAATTAGTGGTAAGAAATGTTTACAGTGGAACCTCGAAATACGAGCAGCTCTATATACGAGAAAAGTATGAGCGAAAAATTCGTCTCTAAATGCGAGCATTGACTCGAGTAACGAGCAATGAGCCAGGCTGTTGGTATGCGTGACACCATTTCGCGATCTGGCTGGACTCGGGGAATCCCTTCTTCAGATCACTTAGTGTTCTTTGATCTACGTGTCTGTGCGCTAAGTCAATTGTTTATTATATTTAACGTGAAAATAATTATTTCACGATGCCTCCAAAAACGATTGTTGCTGCAAAGAAAAAGAGGAAAGCCATGCCCGTTGAAATTAAGAAAGAAATCGTAGATAAACATAAGCGGGCTGTAAGACTGACAGAATTGGCGAAGACTTGCAGCCTTTCGACATCGACGATCTGCATTATTTTGAAGAAGAAGGAAGAATTAAGAAACTTGATGTAGGCAAAGGAGTTACCGTTACTTCCAAGCACACCAACGACAGCTTCTTAGAAGCTTCTAGGAGTTCCGTCTAAAACTCCTAGAAGCTTCTAAGAAGCTGTCGTTGGTGTGGATTAACGAGAAGCAGTTAAGATCGGTGTCGGAAGCTATCATAAAGGTAAACTACGGTTATATTATTACCAGTGCTGTTTAGAAAAATTGAATTTATATGTTGATATTTTGGGGGCTGCGGAACGGATTAACTGGATTTCCATTATTTTGAATGGAAAAGTTTGTTTCTATATACGAGAAATTCGCTATACGAGCTCAATGCTGGAACGAATGAAACTCGTACCTCGAGGTTCCACTGTATTCGTCGCTACTTTCTGTTTTCAGATAAACATCATCTATTCTAATGATATTTACTTCTTCATTCTAAGCATTCCTTTTACTTAATCGAGTTTAAATGGAGATGAATAATATCATTACTTCTCTCTCTATGGAAAATGTGCTGTACGTTGCTTTTGCTTGTGCCGTTTGTTTTAAGTGTAATAAGAAGGTAATTTTGCAATAAGTTTCTATACAAAATAAACGTTGTTCTGGCACTGTAAACTGTAATCCTTTGAAGTCAATGCTGAAACTTATTACCTTTTTGCTATGTTACTTCTTTTAGATGGCTTGAAGGAAACCAGCTGGATATACTTCCTGATTATATATTCCAGAACTTAAATAAGCTGGAGGTCATGTGAGTATATTTATGCTTAAAAGCATCATTTTGTACCTAATTTAATCAGGTATAATATACAGAGTGACGCCGGAATAAATACTTATACCGTTCTGAAGTACTGAATTTTTTAAGGTACATATTATGCGTAAAATATAATACGTAAATAAAATTTATTTCGTAAGCCGTTATTAATATTAATTTTCAGCAATGTATATTAATTACGTTAACAGAATTTGATACAGGATTATAACAGAAATTGGTTTTTAATTTTTGTTGTGATTCTTCGATTTTATGCATTACAGCAAAGATAAATAAGTGACTTCTAGAATAGATTCCTAATTGTCATAAATGTAAGATTAATTAATATATTTTTAAAGATTTATTGTCTAATTTTTCGAAACATTTAGCTCCCTAATATTAACTTAATTTGGTATCTATCTATTAATATATCTTTTCTTATTAAACTTACTTCATTCCTTCTTTCAAGATTCGAAATTTATAGATGCAATCTAAATAGAATTCGCAGCTATTTTCTGATCTGTTTATAAAATTTGTAATTTTAGTAAATTTTATAATTTTTCTAAAACGTTTTTGAATTATAAAATTTTTACCAACATTTTAAAGTACATGTATTTTTAGAAATAGCTGCCAAAACGAAGAGTTTTTATTCAAAAATCTCTGAATATATACGTGAATTTATATATTGGTGCGCACTGAAATTTAGCACATTAGTTATAAGCGATAATAACACCGAGTATGATTTACGGGCGTTGTTAAAATTATTTGAAAAAATGGACGATGCACCTTTTATTCCGTTTGCGCACAGTGGAATGGAAAAGAAAGTAGGGTACCGTAAATTAAGAATTTCGCTAAGTGAATTATTCTTGGCGCAAATTGAAAAAGTCTGCCAAGATATATTTTTTAATTTCTCGGTAATTTTCTCATCAAATTTTAAAAAAGTTAATATTACCTCATAATTTGACCGATTTTATGTCCAAATACCTATGTTAGAACAATGCTATATACTATAAATCTAATATGTATCCTATGCCGCGCTTTCGAAACATGAAAAATGCAAGTGAAATTTCATCAACCATCAGCCCAGTAAGTAGAATATTTCAAAAATAGATATTTCAAAAATAGAATGCGTATTTCTGTAACACTTAATTGAACACAAATAAATATTTAACTTTTCTTATTTGTGTGCAAAATGTACAGCAAATACAGATTCATTTATTGAAAATCTTTAGATTGACTTATTTCAACTTCTGTTTGGGATAATGATTTTGATGTTTTCAATAGGTCAATATGACATAAATTTATTCATTTAACACAACTTTATATTTATGTAAAATTTTAATTATAAATATACTTCATAAAACTTATATTTTTACTTTACAGGGTCTCTATCAAGAAACGAACTAACCACTGTCAATTCATTTATTTTCTACGGGTTAGAAAACCTGAAAAGTCTGTACGTATTACAAAAGTCTTTAGACTGTTTTTTTTGTGTATAATTATTATTTTCCCACAAATTAATTAACTATTTATTCTAAACCACCTAATCATTTATTCTAGATTTATAGATAATATATTTCAAAAATAGAATGCGTATTTCTGTAACACTTAATTGAACACAAATAATCGTGTATCACGAACATAAAATTGTCTTGGTACTTTTCCGTTTTGCCGGCGCAAACGATAAAGTCGCCAATAACAGTACAACTGATGCCAAATGGAATATATTTTCTGGTAACCTTTTACGCTTCATTTTCAAAACAAGTCGCAGCCATTTCTTATCAGATTGATTGTTTCGTTCAATGCTGGCATACAATTACATAGAATTTTTACTAGTTAAATTTTATGCCCTAAGACTACTTGCGGTAATTAAGTCAATCACACCGCTCACCCAACGGCGAAAATATAGGAAAGGCAAAATCAAAGGTTAAATTCATCCATTCTAATGAGAATGCACTAGCGAAGTAAAGCACTGCGGTTTTACATAATTTCTCAGTAAGCTATTCGTATGAATTGAAATAATTCTTGCATTTAAACTTGTATTCCAAGATTTGTAAACAAAATTTAACTTGAAATTAATGTAGATAATTACTGAGAGAATTAGATTTTTGTAGTATAGTTTACGTGAGATGAGATCTCTTGGGGTCCCATGATACGAACCAGTAAATTCTTAAATTAATGTCTTTTACAAATTTATTGTCTTTATTTATTGGCTTTTTACAAAATTTTAAATCATATTAATATGTTTATGCCTTCAAAATAAAAAATCTTATAACTAAAAATTTTAATGTGTATACTGCATGCTCTCGCCAAAAAAGTCTGCTTGGCGAGATTTGCGCCGGCGAAACGGAAAAGTACCACTGTCTTAAAAAGTTTTGTACTTATTTTTAATCTCTTATTTTTGTATACAAATAGATCGTTTTATTACAACAGTTAAAAGAGTTATTAATTGTATTAGTTTGAAAACTACAAAAGATTATCATATTATTATTCTAAAGTATTACATATTTAATTTTAGACACATAAAACTCATACTGGTGTTAAATTTTGGGACCCAACTCTTGTAATAGTAATTCTTTGAAAACTTTTGTTGATCTCACTTCAATATATAATTTTGTAGAAAGCACGGGCACTTTAACCAAAATATTGTTTTATTACTGAAACCAACTTGAATTTAAAAACGTTAACAAATTAAGGTTAATGAATAGAGCATTATAGGTGGAGTTGCACATTTGATTGGTACAATACCTCACAATATCAGTATTACCACATATGGCTTCTTTGATACGTATTCCACTCGGTAACTGGAGAATAAGCCCATTGATATGTAGAGTCCTCGTTAAATCCGCTTCGTCTCTCTAAGACAAAACCAGACTCTTATAGGATCCACTCAACTGTTGTAGACTTAAACTCAGCTGTAGAATCCACTCTGCTACTGGATTTGACCTATCCTCAATTGCTAGAATCCATTACAGACTACTGGACTTGACCGTACCCGACTTCTAGGGAGGACACAATTTCTCTAGCGGTACTGGCAGCCCACCCATTCTTCATGGCTTGACTATGCTCGAATATGTACTGCTCTATCATAGCGTTCTAAAAATGTGTAAACACCTTTTAAACATGAAATTAATTGAAAACTTGGTGCATTGAAAATAGATATTTATTAGAAATTATCTCTGATATAAATTCAGGTAAAGAAAGATTAGCATTAAATGTTTTTTAATTGTTCAAAAATAAGTAAATTTGGTAAAAAAGATAAAACTAAGATGAGAACGGAAATCGATTATTTATTTTGCAAGAATCTCATAAAAACTACCCGTTTCGTTTACGAATTTTCTCGAATATTCCCAATTTTCTAATTATAAACTAAAGCAAGGAAAGCTAGCTGCATATAAATAATAACTTACATTAATATTTATTACATAACATAGCTGAATGTTGTTGACAAAATGACTGCCTGTTATTCAAACAGAACACTAAAGATTGAGATATTCCCAGAAGTCACTTTCCAAAATTTAAACACCGCTGGGATGATTTAGTTTTATAAGAAAGTAGGATTACCCGCAAATTCGGATATTAAAAAAAAAAAAAAAAAAAAAAAAAAAAAAGAATACCTATACTTCTGACAGTTTTAACAACATACCTATGCTTTCGGCAACTAACATTTAAGTCTTACAGTATCACATACTAATTATCGTTACTGAAAGTGATAAAATAACATTTTTGCAGAAAAACTAGCTGCAGTAAAGTCTCGATTTAAATGTGCATTTCGAAATATATTTTTGAGCAAATGAAAGCTTTCAAAAAGTTTTGCAAAGCCTAAATACTATGTGTTAATGTGTATAATTCATGAATATGTTATTACTTACCAACAATAATGCGTAGAATTACTTTTTAAGTGAGGTCATACTCCTTAAACACCTTATGATCTTCGAATATGTGACTGATGCAAGAATTGAGATAGTTTATTTATTTTAAAAGCAATCACTTCCAACTTTTTACAGCTGACTACATAATATAGCTGCTTTGGGAACTAGTAACCAGAGAGTTTGTGTTGCCACAACTATTTTTGTAATTTAATCCGCTTTGTGATAAAAGTTTTCGTCATGTTTCCACCTTGCGCACATGTATTTTAAAAATGGTTAATAGTACATACTTGAAATTTGATGGATTTCTTTATATAGGCACTATTTTCTCACTGAACCAAAAACATGATGAATATTTTAATACTAAAAAATTTTATGCACGAAAACATCTCAGATTTTTTAAATAAAATACATTACATAAACTCGACTTCAAATAAAATAAATATTTAACATGAAGTTTCACAGTTGTTTTCAAATGTTATAAAAGCTATTAAATATGGAATTAGATTATGCGACATAATATGTTAAAATGTGCGCGCAAGGTGGAAACATGACGAAAACTTTGCTCCCAAAGCGGATAAATTGTAAAAATATTTGTGGCAACACAAACTTCCTGATTACTATTTCAGAAAGCAGGCTATATTATTATATAGTCAGCTGTAAGAAGTTGATAGTAATTGCTTTTAAAATAAATAAAATATCCCAGTTCTCGCAACAGTCACACATTCGAAGATCTTATGGGTTTTAAGGTGCATGAGTCGTATAAATTCAATAATCGTTAATACTATTTTGTTATTATTTATTTATGTTTTAAGTATTCTAACATTTTATGACCCCAATATTTAATTAAGTGGTCGTCCTTTTTAGCAAAATCAAGCATAAAAAATCATAAGTATCGTTCATAATATTTTCAAAACTTTCTCATAAAGATAAAACAATTATTAAAAGTATAAAACAGTCTGTTAATGCTGGTTTTCAGGAGGCTTGAAATGCCATTTTGGTATATATCTTGCATTCTGTTTAAGTCTGTCTAATTTTACTCTATTTTCACAATCATTTAAATACTTTCTTCTTGACAAATTCAATCACGTCATATGTTCAAATTTTATTTTTAATACTACGCCAGCAGTAATGTACACTGCCAAAAAAATGGGACAGTTCTCCCATTCTGCTGGGCCGATCGACGAATTTCAAATTGCGTTTTTTATGTCTCGAAAGCGCGACTTAGGATATGTATTAGATTTATATATAGCATTGTTCAAATATAGGTATTTTGACACAAAATAGGACTTTTTCTGAAATGATATGCCAATTTTTTCCGTATTTCGATTCTACGACCCAAATTATGCCAAACTCCCAAATTGTGTAAAAATCGCAGGAGTAATTTTTTAAAAATTAGCTCTCAAAATTTTACCTCCGCAATGTTAATTGAATTTGGTATGTATTTATTAATATCTCTTTTTTTATCAAACTTATTTTATTCCTTCCTACACAGTTGGAAATTTAGGTTCATTCCAAATGAAATTCACCCATTTTTATGATTTATTTTTAAAATTTGTATTTTTAAATAATTTTTATAAATTTTTCGAAAAAAAAGTTTGAACTATAACCTATAATATTTTTACAATCATCTTACACTAGATGTATTTCTAAGCGCACTTGCAGAAAATTAGAGCTTTTTATTCAAAAGTTCCTAATATATACGTGAATTTATACACTGTTGGGCTTTGAAATTTGGCATATTTGTTGAAAGCGATAATAACGAAAATGTCGTTTAAGAATTTCGTTAAATTATTTGAAAGTAGGAACAATGTGACTTTTTCCCGCTCATCCACAATGTAAAAAGGCAGGAACGATGTGACTTTTTTTCGGTTCAGCACAATGGAAGGGAAAGAAAAATAGGTTGTTATATACACTGGTGTGCAAAATTAAGGACGAGACGGTTTTTTTAATATAACTTTGTACAAAAGCTTTCCAAATCAACACATTTTAATACCGTAAGATCCCCAATACGTAAGGACATGAGTAATGTAAGCAACACTTATTAAAAGAGAAATCAGAGGGATAAAAAGAAGCTTTATTGAAAAAGTAGCATGGAGCTCAATGCGACTGAAGGCCGAAACATCCCTGTGATGGGTGTCCAGCAAGAAACATCCGGTCTTCAATAGGGGATAGGATCTCCCCTGACTGCTAGGCAGGTTTCACAGCGTCTGCCCATGCTGAGAATGGGGGTGTCAATGAGTTGTTGAGGCATTGCTGCCCATTCCTCTTGCAGCGCCAATCGAAACTCCGGAATCGTTACTGGTGGTAAGGTACGAGCTGCCAAGCATCTGCCTAGAAAATCCCATACATGCTCGACGGGATTGAGATCCGGGATCGTGCCGGCGAATCCATACGTTCAATATCCTCACTCTCTAAGAGCTGTTCGGCAGCTACTGTGCGATGACATGGTGCATTGTCGTCCATGAAAAGGAACTGCGGGTCCATAGCGCCTCTAAAAAGACGCACAAACATAATAACGAGTCCCGTTGACTGAACCTGCGTCGAAGATGTGAAGGTCTGTACGACTACCAAGCATGATGCCTCCCCAAACGAGAACACCGCCACCTCCATACCTGTCCCTTTCAATGATGTTCGAGGGATGATTGCGGCTTCCCCGCTCTCTCCAGATGAGTATGCGATGAGAATCGCTACTCAGACTGAATCTGCTCTCATCTGTAAAGAGTACTCGTCCCCATTCATTGTCTCTCCAATTCCGGTGTTCCCGGCACCACAGAGAACGCCTTCTCCAATGGGCAGGCGTTAGAGGTACACACTGTACAGGGCGTCGTGCAAACAGACCACCACCGTGCAGTCTTCTGACCACGGTAAAACGCGATATCGGTCGTCCAGTCGCCTGTGTCCTGTGTCTAGCGATTTCTGCCGCTGTCTGCCGCCTGCTTCTTCTGGCCTGTAAGGCAATATACCGGTCATCTTCGGGTGTGGTTCCTCGTGGACGACCACTACTAAACCCCCGGATAGCTGTTCCTGTAGTTTGAAATTGTCTCCAAAGTCGTGAAACTATGCTGTGAGCAATTCCGAACTCTGCAGCCACACTTGTCACACTGCGGCCTTCCTTCAACTTCCCAATGATTCGACGTCGGGTAAAAGCATTCAGATGTCATCTAACAGATTGATTATTCGCCATTTCTCGCTGAGGCAGCAACTCGGTGTGATTTTAACTGCTATACGGCGTGCAATCTCTTTGCCAGAAATACTGATCTTACACCGACAACATGCTTTATACTACTAAGACACTCCCCCATTACGTCTACCTGCATATCTGCGCATGTGCTACCGTACATCACCTTACTTAATCTCCTGATTGGTCTTTCTGTCCGCTCTGCCTCTTCGTTCAGCTGATAAGCTAATTTTTCGACTTCGTCCTTAATTTTTGCACACCAGTGTATTAAGAAATTCGTTAAATTATTCTAGGCTCAAATTGAAAAAATACACCAAGCTAAATTTTTGAATTTCTCCGTAAAATTTTCAAACAATATTTCAAAATTTAATATTTAGCAATAATTTGAGTAGTGGAATCGAAATATGGGAATAAATGTGTATACTTTTCAGAAAGTCCCATTTTGTGTCAAAATACCTATGTTAGAACAAAGCTATATATAAATCTAATGTATATCCTAAGTAGCGCTTTCGAGGCATGGAAAACGCAATTTGTATAGCCAAGTAGAACGGGAGATATAGAACTGTCCCCTCTTTTTTTCTGCGCAGTTTACATACTTTTACCCGTATCGCACAGGTAAAAGCATTCAAAAGCTTACTTTAAGAAGTAAGCTTAACTCTTAACTTTCTGTATTGCTTTTCAGAGCTATTTCGGCGAATCGACTGGCATATCTAGATGCATATTCTTTTGGAAATATCTCTTCTTTATTGAAACTGTGAGTTTTATATTTTACACTTATCTTTTATTTATGGTATATATGTATATTATATAAATGCTTTTTAATTTTGATAAAAATCTATAATAAAAGACTAACTAACATAAAGAAAGCAAATAAGCAGCAAATATAGAAAATCATTCCCAAAAAACAAAACAAAATTAAATCATAAACAAAAATCAGTTTATATTTTTTTTTAGGATTTTGGTTAAGGATCATCCAAGATCTTGCTTAAATTTCAGCTATTGATAGTATCAACAACTTCTATGAATATGGAATTATCTGAAGAATTTCTTTTAAAATACTTCTAACTGGCGAGTCGAATCATAAATATTGAGGGGAAATCATCCGATAAAATTACTGTTATTATGTTCTAATTTTAGATTATGGATCATAAGTCGTAATAATTATTAGTCCAAACTGATTTGAGTCCCGAAGGACTAGTACTTTCGTTTTGGAATTTTGCGTCGGACTCTTATAAATGTCGGTTCACGTTTCAAACTGTTGCCACAAAATATTAGAGTCTTGCATTATATTTGAACAAATTAAATAATGAAAAATCTGCATAAATGTATGTCTATTTCTCGCATTGTGAGAAAACAACGGTTATCTAAAGCCATCCAATTTTGAATGACGTAATCCTACTGCGAATATGGGCATCTGAAATTCCAAATTTGAAATTTGGAATTTGTTTTATTATCGATTTCATATTTTGTAAAACTTTAACGAATTTTTGAGTAACAAACTCAACGATTTAAAAGCGAGCAATGGCAACACTCTACGGGAGGAAAAAAAACCTTTTTTTTTTTTTATTTCCAGCGCGTCGAACTGTGTATCGGAAATTCTCAAGGATATGCTCATTTTAAAATTGTTTTGCGACACTGCTATTGAACTACATTTTATGGTTTAAGTGCAAAAAATATTGTATTTAATAAATAAAGGTAACACACAAAACGTTAAAAAAACGCCCCTTTGAACGCAATTGAAAATCTGAAACATTTCAGACTTTTCTTGTTTTATTTCCTTATTATTTGTATCATTTTCTTGTTAATGATTACAGTTGGTTACACTTTCTTATTTTTAATACTATATATTTATATTTTTTTAAAGCTAGGTAGTAAGTACTATATAAAAAGACCAATTAATATAAAGAATGACTTTGGTCTTTTATGTCATTAACATGAGAAAAACCGAGCATGATGGGTGTCCGCCTAGAACATCGCGGACGGAAACATCGTAGAGAAAATAACGCAAGGCGAAAACGTCGTGGTACAAAACATCGTCGAAGAAAAGAAAGCAAAGAGAAAACATCGTGGTACAAAATATCGTCATTGAAAATAAAGGGGTTCAAAAACTTCGAAGTTTAAAAACATCGTAGTCAAAAATATCGTGGTAAAAAATAAAGCACCTACAAATCATCGCATGATGGTAACATCGCACACATGCGTTTTTCAGGTTTTAAAAGCTGTAAATGCATTTTCGCATAATGATTTAAGAACGAAAGAAGGAAAGAGGAATATTTTTACTTTTATATTTCATTATTTTGAATGAACGAAAAAATTTTTGCTGAAAAAGTAATAAGGAAACTTAAGCATTTAAAAATTGAAAATGAGTAGAAAATTAATACAACTTATAGCCCTTAATAGAATTTTAAATTTACATAGTTAATTAAGAAAGGACATTATTAAATTAATATTTTTTATTGCTTTACTCATAATGTTTCGTGAAAAATGAAGCCTAAAATGTTTAGAAGAATGAAGATAAACAACTGCACGATATTACGCTTATAAAAAGTACTTGGTTAATTATGAAATTACTTTGTAGAGACATTAGGATTCTTTTTTCGGGACCAGGAGATGAAAAATGAACACCCGCCTTCGTCGAGAATCGGACCTCTGGAATATTGGTTCAGCGTGCAGAACCACTACACTATGAAGGCAGGCTAGGAAGCGGGAAAGATACCTTATATAGTTTCTCTTTTAAAGGGCGAATGGGGTTTTTAGAGGACCCAATCGCCAAATCCTGGGAGAGAAGAATCATCATCATATACCCTTTCTTTTTAGTTTGGGCGCCACTGTAGAGACACTAAGATTTTTTTTTTGGAAGCAGACAATGAAAAATGAGCACCCGTCCTCGTCGGGAATCGAACCACGGACCTCTGGAATACCGTCCAGCGTGCAGAATCATTACACCACGAAGGAATGCTAGGAAAGAGGGAGAAATACCTTATAACTTTTTTTTTTTTTTTTTTTTTTTACCACGATGTTTTAGAGCTGCGATATTTTATATTTTCTCCCACGATGTTTTGAACCACAACGTTTTGTCCTTGCGTTGTTTTCTCCTCGACGTTTTCATCCACGATATTTTCGGCTGTAACCAGCATGATGCTATCTGTCAAGTTGCATGTTATTCAGACAATACATTCAATATTACTAATCCCTGTAATCATGCTATCATATCATTTTTCTTCAAGAAAGAGCTTTGGGCATTGCAAAAGTGCGACACAAATGGAAAATTAGCGCTTGTTATCGTAATAAGAAAATGTAAAGGTTATATAAAGATTCAAAGTGAGATTTGTCTCTCCTTTAATATATCTCGAGTGACCAAAATTAATTATATTTCTAACATTATTTTACACATACTTACCTGCAGGTTACATTTTAGGTATTTTCTGGAACGATCTTAAAATTTTGAAGCAACCTTGCTCGCTTATATTATAAAGTATTTCTCCCGTCTTCTTAGCATGCCTTAATAGTGTAGTGGTCAGCACGTTCGGAGCGTATTCGAGTTTGGATTAACAATAAAACAATTACACACTTCATATTTATTTATTCCATCTCAGGATAGGCAATGGTCAATGAACTGTATAAATTTCAAAATTTATGTATCTAGATACTACAGAAAAAAATACTCAGAGAGACGATTATTGCCTTTTATTTTATAAGAAACGTTAGCCTTCGTCGAGATTTTACTCTAAACATAGTGAAAAGTTTCTAATTCTTCCACCAAAATTATTGTTTTAGTTTTTGAAGACATTTCCAATTTATGCCCAAAATGCTTTTTACCTCTTAGTAATCGTATAGAATTCATACTAAAATAATCATAACATGTACTTGTATGTTTCTTTTCAATTTACCCTAACCTTAAAAAGCAAGAGCAACAATTATTCTTTATCTTCACACCGATATTTAGAAGTATTCATGTCTCATGACGTTCCTTTAAAGAGAATTTCAAAGTGCATATCGCTGCTAAATTGCATTAATTTAAGATACAAATCATATGGAGTTCACGTTCTGTGGAGCTTAGCCGAAAGATCATCTTTAAGCTTATACCAGCAGCAGTGATTAAAAGCAGGGATAAAGGTACTGATTGTATTTAAAAGGGTTATGGTGATAATTCATTAGACTAAGAGCAATTTTAAACTCTTTTCCGTGCAAACATTCTGAAACTTTGTATCACATTCTATTGAAAAATTCAGTTATCTTTTCCCTGTTTCCATATATGCTACAATGTTCCACAGTTTTAAGTCAAATTATACGAGACTGTTGAAGGTGACCCTCACCAATTGCAATTATGACAAGTAAGTTTATGCTGGTGATTTAAATTATTACTTGGGCTTATCGGAAATGTGTGGCAGTATCAATAAAAGAATATTCATGTTTGATTTATTCCAATACTTACTTGAATTTGATTGGCTGAAACAGAATGGTATTTTTAATGATTATTATTTAGAAAGTTCATTTAAAATGAATTATATTTCAGAAAAGAGTTGATATTGTATTCGAACCATAATAATATTTGTACAGATGCTAGAAACTACTTCTATTTCGATTTCTATCGATAAGATTATTTATTTATAAAGCATATGCAGCGGCAGATAATTATCTGATTTTATATGTATACATAACATATGAAATTTAATTATGATAGTAATACCCATAAAGTAATATAAATGTTAGTTATAGCACTTTCACTTAAAAAGCATTCCCTTTTAACTCATACATAGTATTAGTTTTATTTTCAAAAGAGAATTAATTATGATAGTTATACGCATACCATAATATAAATATTATTTCCAGCATTTCTAAAACTTGCATTTTTATCTGATTTGTGGTATTAGATTTGGTTTTAAAAACTATTCATTAAAAGCTTATTGCATTTCCTGGAGTAATTTAACAATATATTGTTATATTTAATTATGAAATGATTAGTGACGCATTTGCTGAAAGTATTATTCACATATAATTTTAAAAAACTGTAAGTGTTGTCTGAATTATATAATTGTCGTTGCAACAGAATTTATTATTATGTTATAAATCAAATTAGTTTAATATGCTATACAAAAAAATAAATAAAAAAACACTGTTTGCAAGAAATGCATTATTCTTAAATGCTTTTCTTGCAAACAGAAATTCTAAAACAGAGAATTCTGAAACTTCTAAAACTGCAAACGAATTAAATAATTTGATTGAAGTTCAAATGTGTATAGACTACACGCAATACGTAATTTTGCTTTATTTCGTTTTAAGTGAATAGAATATAAATGAAAAACGGGCAGAAGTTATATCTGATCTCAGAAATATATTTGATAATACTATGATGCACGTATGCTTCTTTTTTTTCTTTGTTTATTTACAGGGACATGCACGGAAATGGAATTCGAGATATAGACAGAAAAACATTCTCCCTGATGCTAAAACTCGAATCATTGTAAGTTGAAAAAGGCTGGTAAATAATGCTTATCTAAATTTTATTAATCCGAAGGTAATTTCTCCCTGAAGGACTATTGTTTTCATTTTTCCATTTTGCGTCGAATCACTCTGAATGTCCGTTTCACTTTTCAAACTGTTGCCACCAAATGTTAGAAACTTGCATTATATTTGAAGAAATTAAATAATGAAAAATCTGCATAAATGTATGTATGTTTCTCGCATTGCGATAAAACAACGGTACCTAGAGCCATCCAAATTTGAATAACGTAATCTTTCATAGAATATGGACACGTGGAAGCCCTAATTTGAATTTGAAATGAGTTTTATTGTAGATTTCATATTTTGTAACACTTCAAGGAATTTTTGATTAACAAACTCAATGATTTCAAAGAGAGAAATGGCAACGTTGTACAGAAAAAAGCATTTTTTATGTCCAGCGCCTGAGACTGCGTATGGGAAACTCTTAAGATATGTTCAATTTGAAATTATTTTGCGATATTGCTCTTGAACTGAATTTTATGGCTTAATTGCGAAGAACATGATATTTAATAAATGAAGGTAACACAGAAAATGTTAAAAAAACGCCCCTGTTTGGGTCTCGTCCCAAATAACACACACTAAATAAATTCGCTGGTTCGATTCTTTATTAATTCTCATAATTAATTACAATCACTCATTAACTCATAGCTGTGACCAGCCTTCTTACACCGTCGATGGCGATTCTCAAACTCGTCTGATCATCACATTACAGATGCGCATGCGTGGATTACATAACAGATGCGCAGGCGCGAACATGCCGCCCCGCGTTGCAATGCTTAGCATTCAACTATTGTAATTAAGATATAGCATAAACATTTAAACAAGTATATCATAAACAATTTTGAATAAGTACTATTACATAAAAATCATTATTATAATTAGACATTTACCATATACATTAGCGTACAACTCAAAGCAATACAATATAACATTTCAGTTACATAATGACATTTTATGTGAAGCACATTCAATACTGTACAATAACTATAAAGACAATACTCATTTTTGTATTGGTAAGACACATAATTTGGTAATTGGTCGTTTGAAACTTTGTTTAATCTCTTTAATTCTGCATTAGTACCTACAAAATTCGTAGCGTTATCACTAAATAGTGTTAAACTTTTACCTCTTCGTGCAAAGAAACGTTTCAAGGTAGCTATTAATGCTTCAGATGTTAGGTCTGTTATCAGCTCTAAATGAATGGCCTTAGTAACCATACAAATGAATATACAGACATAAATATACCTATATTTCTGATATATACCTTTTCTCTGGTTTTTGTACTTAATTAAGAATGGGCCACAGAAGTCAACTCCAGTACAATGGAATGTAAGATTAGCTGTGATTCTTTCCTTGGGTAAATCACCCATGATTTGCTGAGCTACAATGGGATTGGCTTTAAAACATATTATACAATTTTTTACAATTTTTCTACAAACATTTCTACCACTTACAATCCAAAATTTTTGTCTTATATGATATAACAAAGATTGAGGACCCACATGCAAATATTTTAAATGATAGTAATTAACTATTAACTCTGTTAATTTATGTTTAGAAGGCAGAATAATAGGAAATTTTTTCTCATAAGTTAAATTGCTATTTTTTAATCTACCTCCAACTCTCAACAGTCCATTACTGTCAATGAAAGGGTTAAGACTTTTAATAGAACTATTTCTTGGAACAATACCTGATTTTTTAAGATCATTTATCTCATTCATAAAATACTCACCCTGTACTAATTTTATTAAAGTTTCTTCAGCTGCTCTCAATTCTCCCACTTGTAAATTACCTACCTGCTTTTGTTCTTGCTTACAATTCTTGTAAAACCTAAAACAAAAACTTATAATACGAATTAATTTTAAATACTTATTACTGCAATTCAATAAATCATTAATGAAATTATTCACATTCAGATTTAAACATGTAGATAGTTCAGAATCAGCAAAGTTTTTAAGTTCATTACTGTCCTTTTCAGTAATTGCTGCAGGTATAACTCTTATAGGGTACTCATCCTTCATTAAGAAGTCAGGCCCGTTCCACCACAGTTGACTTAGTTGCAGTTTTTTGGCAGACATACCTCTAGATATGAGATCTGATGGGTTTTCTTCAGAAGCGATATGATGCCACTGTGCTATTTCAGTCAGATCCTGTATCTTTGAAATCCGGTTTGCAACAAATGTCTTGAGAAGGTGTGGCTCTTTGTTGATCCATGACAGCACAATCATAGAATCGGTCCAAAGGTGGATAGCAGTAAACTCCAATTTTAATGATGATTTCACTCGATGCATCAGTTTAGCTAATAGCACTGCTGCGCAAAGCTCAAGTCTTGGGATTGTAGTCTTCTTTAGGGGTGAGACACGCGATTTACTGCACACCAACCTCACTGATGTATGGTTTGTTGCTGATGTTGCTTTACAGTAGATAACTGCTCCATAGGCGGCCTCTGAGGCATCACAGAACCATGTAATTCAATCTTGATTCTATCCGGTAATAAAATACATCTAGGGACTTCAATGTTGTTAATTAGCTGCAAGGTAGTGGAGAATTCTTTCCATTCTTTAGCTTCCTTTTCTGGCAAAACATCATTCCAGTTCAATTTCAACAGCCATAATTTCTGCATAAATATTTTATTCTGCATAAAATAAATTCTTATCTTCTTTTTTTTTTATTATTATTTATTTTGGAGTGCGGAGTAATTCGTATAAAATTTATACATTTTACGCCCTGAGATGAGACGTGTGATTTATCCATCCGCTTTATTACTTCTGGATAATTGTTACAAATATTCTGTAAAGGAAAGCTTTTATGTCAGAAAGAATTCATATCAAAATTTATCTGATATTCAGTTAATCGTGATAAATCTATCGAATAATAAGTACTTGAATTGCACTAGCAGTAGGGTTTAATATTACAAGTAGGGGTTTAGAGTACCTCCTATTTTGGGATTTCCAGAGTGGAAGTTAAAAATCCAGATAGCGATCCTTAGTCCGAAGTTTCCTAAAAAAACTAAGCTAACCTTCTTGAGTATCAGCTATTTGCAATTTGATAACTAATTTGTACTTAAATATTAGTATTTATTTTTCATTTATAATAAAACTTTATGTAAAATTTTAAATAAATGCAGCAGTAAGAACAATACTACATTACTAAATAAATCTGCTCAGTTATTAAAACAAAAATAATAAAAATAAATAAATAAATTTCATTTTTGTAGTAGGTTATTAAATAATGAAAACTAACAGGAAAATACGAGTACACTCTGTAATGCAACACTCTGTAATGCTGTAATGCTCTCTGTAATGCTGTAAATCCGATACCATAAGATAAGAGATCATTTTGAAACGATTAACTTTATTTAATATTAGTCAATTGATTCAAAATTTGAAAACAAAAATATCAAATTTCTTTTATTCTAAATAAAATTTTAATACTTAATAGAATATTAATTCAGAGTATTCCGTATGTGACTAATTAAATTCTTTAAGTTAATGGTACTTTTCCGTTTTGCCGGCGCAAGCGATAAAGTCGCCAGTAATGGTACAACCGATGCCAAACGGAATATTCTTGCTGGTAACCTTTTACGCCTCATTTTCAAAACAAGTCGCAGCTTTTTCTTATCAGATTGATTTTTTCTTTCAATACTGGCATATAATTACATAGAGTTTTTATCAGATAGTTCAGTTTTATGTCTAAGGCCATTTTCGGTAATTAAGTAAATTAGGATGCAATCACAGCGCTTACCCGAAGCCGAAAATATGGAAAAGGTAAAGTCAAGGGTTAAATTCATCAATTGTAATGAGAATGCATTAGCGAAGTAAAGCACTGCAGTTTTATATAATTTCTGAGTAAGCTATTCGTACGAATTGAAATATTTCTTGCATTTAAACTTGTGTTCCAAATTAAGATTTAACTTGAAGTTAATGTAGATAATTACTGAGAGCATTAGATTTTTGTAGAGTAGTTTACGCGAGATGAGATCGCTTGGGGTCACGTGATATGAACCGGCGAATCAGGATGTTGAACCATGAAAGCAAATTAAATTCTTAAATTAATGTCTTTCTACAAATTTATTGTCTTTATTTATTGGCTTTTTATAAAATTTAAACGATATTAAAATGTTTATGCCATGAAAAAAAAAAAATTCTTAGAACTAACATTTTTTAAATATTTTTTATGTGTATACTGTATGTTGTCGCTAATAAAGTCTGCTTGGCGAGATTTGCGCCGGCGAAACGGAAAAGTACCAAATTAATTTATAAGTAGGGCTATGAAAGAGGAACAATTTTCTTTTATATTCAATTTGAAATTAATTTATCTCTTCAAAATCTTATTTTTTATCGTCTGAATAATTTAAGATTAATATTAGCAAGAAACCTGATACTATAAGTATGGAAACTTGGAGAAAGAGATGTTGGGTCTAAATTACAATAAGTCTTAAAATGAAAGTAAATTAACTGATCCTCCGAGTCAAATTGCTAAGATCTGAGAAATCCGAACTGCAAATCTAACGGATAAACGTTGGAATTGAAACTCACAACGTTTGACTTTTGACTGATAATTATTGACACTGTGCAAATATATGCAGAAAAAATTATACTTTTATTTACAAGGATTTATAATAAGTCCTAAGTTGTGTAAAGTTTATACGAATAATTTATTTTTTATTCTGTACAGCTCAGGATTCAGGATTGCTCCAATTCTTATTTTCGACAAAAATGGAATCTACATCCTGTTATTTGAGGTTTTACCAATATCTGCAGCATTCAGAAGAAACGATTAACACGCATTTAATTTTAAAACTGTATAAAAACTTTATTTTTTAGTATTTTTATGAAACTAACCTTGTTGATGCAATCGGATTCTTTTGCGAAGCCCCGAATCAACTATTTTTATTTTAACGAATACATTTGATACAAATAATTCTTATTTAAATTAAAATAATACAAATAATTAAAACGCAATATACATTTAAATTAGTCTTAAAAATATCTGAAACATATAAATTTAACGGCGATAACATTTTAAACCAAGCGCTTGTCATTTTAAAGTCTAATTTTGAATCTTTTAATATACCAAGAGACTAAAATTGAATCGAGCATTTTTCTACAGTGGAAAAATCGAAATTATATCAATTTATTCCTTAGTTTTAATACTTATACTATTTAATACTAATCTAAATATAAAATATGCCGAAGACGTATTCGTACCCCTTGTGTAAGGATTGATGGAAATAACACTAAAATTGTGAAACGCATGAAATACTTCGATGATTACATTGGCAACCGACCTAATTAGCATGAATATATCGTGCGAATTAAACAACGGCTGCACAAGTTCTCTAACTTATTCAACAAAATAGCATCCAAGTGGGGAATCTCCTCTCAGATTGTCAGAATAACAATATGTTATCAGACAGTAGCTGACAGAAACGCCTTCCACGAGGTCTGTAGAGATTTCATATCACAAAATGTATACACTTGGGGCTTTCATCTGCACAGCGGCTTTTTCTACTGAGCATCTGTCGGGACATACTTCTAAACATATGCAACTCTCCATTATTGATGCAACTCTCAAGCGGTACATACTGATGGATCATAGGGGCGCCAACACATAGGCTGTGGCTTCTGTGTGATGCGAGGTACCAGCAGTGTATTCAGCTAGGCACGAAGACTAAATTTTATCAATACATCGTATCGGGCTAAGCTTGCAGCACTTAACAACAGTATTTCACTATTACATTCTAGATGGTCGCGAATTAACACAAGTCACTCAACAGTTCCCATCACACAGAAACCATAGGCTGTGGCTTCTGTGTGATGCGAGTCACTATTTACCTGAACACGAAGACTATGTTCTGTTAAAACTTTTAAACGACGAAATATTAAGGTATCCATTTTGGTTAGAACAGGGTTTCTTAAATTGTGGGTCGCGACTCCTAAGGAGGTCGCGGGACCTGCAGCAGGGGGTAGCCAAAAATTTTAGCAGTAGTTATATTTCTTTAACTTGTTATAATAATTTTACAATTACCAAATATTTTTACACAATGTATCTGAAAGTAGATAAAGATAAGACAATAGACACAAAGATAAAAAAAACGAAAATGTTTCGACACATTCTTTTTACAATATAAACGTTCATTTTCCTTGCTTTGCACGTGACGCTCTCATTTCGTCTATTACTTATTTCAAATTTGCACATTGTTCAATGTCTTAAAATTATAAATTAAAGTTAATGACCTAAAACTGCAGTAATATATTACAGTACAAGTGAAACAATTGACGGTTTCACTCACGTGTGTGGTATGTGTCGAATTTGCGCAATACTTACGGGGGTCCCACACAATTTTTGTAAATATTATGGGGTTCTGGGGGTCGCGAAAAAAATCTCAGTGATAAAAAGGGGTCGCGACTTGTTTAAGAACCACTGGAAAATGTACACTGAAAAAAAAAGTGGGGGGACAGTTCTAATATATCTTCCTTTCTACTGGGCTGATTGACGAAATTCAACTTCACAAAATCGGACTTTTTTTTAAATAACATACCAATGTTTTCCCATATTTCGATTCTGCGATTCAAATTACGCGAAACTACCAAGTTTTGTAAAAATTGCGCGAGTCTTTTTAAAAAAATTAGCTCTCAATATTTTAGCTACTCAATGTTAATTTAGTTTGGTATATATTTATTAATCTCTTTTTTTATTAAACTTATTTGAAGCTTCCTTTCACAATTCTAAATTTAGTTTTATTTCAAATAAAATTTACCCGTTTTTTATGGGGTTTTTTTAATTTGTATTTTTAAATAATTTTTATAAATTTTTCATAAATATTTTTAAATTATAATGTATAAAATTTTTACTATCATCTTAAAGTAGATGTATTTCTAAGCATATATGCAAAAAATATATTTTTTATTCAAAATTTCCGAAGATATACGTGAATTTATATATTGGTGCGTTTTGAAATTTGGCATATTTGTTGAAAGTGATGAAACATCAAATGTGGTTTAGACACTTTTCGAAAATTATTTGGAAGTAGAAACGATGTGCCTTTTTTCCCACTCATGCACGTAAAAAGGCAGGAACGAGGTGCCTTTTTCCCGTCCCATCATAACGTAAGTAAGGGAAAGGAAAATTGGTTGCAACATATTAAGAAGTTCGCCAAGTGAATTATTCTTGGCGAAAACCGAAAAAATTGTGCCATGATAAATTTTTTAATTTCTCCGTAAATTTCACTCCAATATATAGCAAATTTTACAAAATTTAATATCTGTGCGTAATTTGAGTCGTAGAATCGAAATATGGAAAAAATTGGTATGTTACTTTAGAAAAGTCCGATTTTGCATCAAAATACCTATGTTAGAACAATGCTATGTATAAATCTAATATATATCCTAAGTCGCGCTTTCGAGACATGAAAAATGCAATTTGAATTTTGCCAATCGGCCAATAGAACGGGAGATATAGAACTGGACCATTTGTTTTCTCAGTGTACCTTGTTAATAAGTTTCCACTTAATAGGCCCACCAGCGGCCGAGCGGTAAAGTCGCTGAACACTGGTAGTTCGGTCCGAGATTCGAATCCCGCGAACGGGCTGGTTGCATGGGTGTTTTCGTGGTTTACCCCCTGCGTAACGTGTATACGAGCCAGTTTCCCTTAGAAAGTCCTCCACGGAGGCATCCCTTCCCTTAAGCAGATAGCCCTCGAGGCTTTGCCGTTATTAAATAACGTAACCTAACATTCCGTTTAATATTGTTGTGCATAAAGAAAATTGTATTAAATACAATTGTTGACTGTTTTATAACGCACTCGATCATCTTCACACTAAAAACAATCCATTTCTTATATTTTTTGTAGCAATTATTCCTTTTTCATATCGGAGATTAGTTTGGAGGTTTTCTTATTGTTCAAACGCCTGTTTCTGAATAAATCGCTCTTTTCAATCGCTTTTTTTTTTTTTTCGTTTTATGAAGTGTTTGAATAAAATTTAATTTCCTCCTTTTCTTTTTTTACAGGAATTTGAAAAAGAACCCTCTAAAGGGATTGAAGCCTGGAACTTTCGATGATCTCGTTCAACTGAAACATATGTGAGTTCCTTTGTTTATTCATATTTAGATATCTGCTTAAACATACAGTTGAAATATAGTAATGCACGTACAAACTTTATTTACTGTTTTCTGTATGGAGATATTTCTGTCTCGTATTCTGTTAAACAGTCTGCTGGAATAAAACGCTCTTTGAAACGTTAAGAAAATTTAAACAAAATGTTTTATGAGAACTAACATGAGAAATGGTAATCAATTTTAAAAACTATAAACAGGGTTTTATGTGCCATCCATTTATGTGCCACCAAATGTCGTCGCCAACAAAAACGTTTTACGTCTGCAATTTTTTGCTATTATTACTTGAAAGCATTTTTTACATTCGTTGTCGTTGTATTGAAAGAAAGGCCAAAACATGTGATATAAAGCACGTGAAATATTTCCCGTGTGTATACTGTAACACATTTTTTTTGAGCTAAGCGAATGTGAAATCTTTACAGACAGTATTTTATGAGTTTAATGATTTCCGATTCCGAAAATATGAAGAATTAGACGATGATATAGATAAATATATGTATTATAAGTTAGCATAATTTCATGCGAGAATCTCGGTAATTAAATGTCCATAAACATGTGGAGATGAAAAAATTCATTTTTGGTACATTGGCAGTGTTAATGTGTTCATATAAGGAATATGAATTTGTAATTTCATACAAATCATTAAATGTATTAAAGTTGTCTCTGGGGTAAGAATACTACTTCCTCATAAAATAAGTGAAACCCTTAGCGACAGAATTTTACATTTGTTACATTTCTCGTTCGCTACCGTTTTCCTGTCAACTGCGAATTCTTGAAATTAATTACTCTTCCTTTTCAAATTTTCTAAAGAGGTAAAATTTTACTCTCCCATGTTATTAAACATAATAGAAAACCAGTGTACACTGATCCCACCGAAACAGATTAATTCTAGGTTTCCATAATTTTATGTAAATATAATGTATACCCATGCGTATATTTTACAAAGGCTCGCTGACTGCCAGAACGTACAGAAAGATCTTAGATCCCTATGTCCGACGTTTCAGGCCCACGTGGTCCTAGGTTCCTGTTAATGGACGTCAACGCGCGTCCACATGAGACTCAGCTTGTCGACGATTACCTAGAAAGTTAGGGTATTGGTGTCATGGATTGGCCAGCTAGATTTTCGGTTCAGGCGCGTTGCGATGCCGACGCTCTCTTGGGTACCGGCGATGATTTCCCTCTCCCAGTGTAATCACCAAATGCTGCAGCAAGGCGATGATTTCCCTCTCCCAGTGTAATCACCAAATGCTGCAGCAAATCCAATATAGGCAGAAGGCACTGTGAGGCGTTGGGTAATGTGCGAATCAACAGATAAGCAGGTTTACAAAGATATGCCAGTTATAGTCTGTCATTATAATAGCAGTGAAGAAGAGAAAGCATATGGAAAGGAACATAAGAGGTGTAACAAGGAAAGAGTGGGGCTAATTGACATTAGGAACATAGATTAACTAAATATACAATACAAAATTATACAATGCAAAAATTAGGTGATGTGTCTTAACACAGCCATTGGCCTTTTTCTATTTACATTAGCAGAAACATCATATTGAGAACAGGAATAACACTGTTGTTGACATCCGGGATTTTCCGGAAGAATTTTTCTACCATTTTGGCAATATATACGTGAATTTCTAGAATGTTTAACTCGCGGTGGATTGCTGTGTTTCTTATGAACCATCGGCAGTTCATCATTTCTCTCAAAATAACATTCCGTGCAGTTTTTGCATGGTGTTATTACAAACATAGCTCACACGGGGCAGGCGTAGGTGAGGATTGGTCGCATCATGGTTTGGTAAATGAGTAACTTGATTTTCTGATCTTAACCCTGGCTGGACGCTCTTGGGTGCACAATTTCATCTCGCCTTCCGAGAACCATCCGGAAGTTGAAAACTGCTTTGTTGCAAGAGTGGGATCGAAAGCCACAACCAAGCTGCGCGACCTTTCTGGCTGTGAAAGAGGATCATACCATATATTAATTTTCAGTTCGAGATTACAAAGTAGATTTTGGGCATCCCTGCACTATGAGCTTTGCTGATAATGAGTGTATAAAATCAAGTCTAAATACGAATGATCAAGAGTGCACTTAAGGCAAAATACTTTCGAAAATTATGCAACCCTTTCAGAAGTAAGTACATTAAGTGTATCTGAACAAATTCGATACGTTACTGGTAAAGAAATACAAGTACTGGAGTTAATCCTTTTTTTTTTTTTTTTTCCTTTTTTTTCATAGCGAGTACGAAATTTTGTTAACTAGAAACCGGAAGAATGTGTAAATGCCAGATTTCGTATTTTAGATAAAATTGTCTTTTTTCTTAAATTTCAAAATAGGAAAACATGAATCTTTACATCTTTTAAAACACTTTTGTAACTAAACGTCTATGTCTATGACCAACGGTTTTGAAAGTAAAGGCTGGGTAAGGGCTTTTGAGGACACAGTAATGAGGGATTACAAATGATTCTAGAATCAGAATTCCTTCAAAATATTAACATAGATACATCATTAAAAGTGATTTTTGACTTCTTATGCGATCTGAATGTAGGTTTTTACGAAATAGTAGTAATCTTAAATAACAGTTTAACTGATGAATTATTTCATTTTTTGATGATTTCTACTGATGTTTCTTTTCTTTCTCGATAATTGATCTATTTTAAAATTAAAAGTTCATATTTTCAATAACATTCAGTTTTTTTTTTCTTTATGTGTATAGTTTCTCCTCGTATTTTGGTAGCAATCGGCTGCACCAAAGTATATAAATATATGTATATATATATATTATATTATATATATATGATATATATATATATATATGTTATGTTGTAAAGTGTGCATTTTTTTTCTTTAAAAAATGATTGAATTATGTTGTTCTTATCTTCCGGTTAACATTTTTATGCCTTTAGTAAATCTTCATGCAATATGTGTGAAATTATCAACAATTTAAAAGTTGTTTAAGTGCTGCTAAACCTAATGAATTTTGCGATGGCAGACATGTTTGTTTACATATCAAACTTGGCAAAATAGCGGATTTGTTGCCAATCTAGAGAAACTACGCTTCGCGACAACAGATAACGCCTTTATTATTGCGAATTAAATCATGCTTAATCTATTCTGGAATTTATTCGAGGAAATAAGTGTTTCAGATTTACTTCGTAATTTTTAATATACATATTTTGAGTTCTTATGCATTTTTGCCTTGTCGGGAAGTGAGAACTGAATTAATTGAATGACAAATACTAAATTGTCTGTGAAGAACTGTTTCTTTTTAGTTTTGTTTGCTTAATTTCTTTTATACATCGTTTCACATTTATTATAGTATTTGAATAGAACATGCGGCAACGATTCGATAATTCTTCAAATGATATAAATTTATATACATTCAGAGTTATAATAGGAACGAAATGTAACGCTGTTAAGTGAAGATCCCTAGCGCCAGAATGTCGCTAGGGTAAACAAATATAATGAATTTTAAAAAGTTCATTTATTCTATTGTGGTTTATGCGCTATCGACGATGTAGATTGAATTCAATCCAATAAGGTTTAAATGAAATGCAAGAAAAAATGCGTATAATTTAATATTCCGTGCAAAGAAGTCATGTGGTGTACACATCAGATTTTTTTTAATATTAAATGAAATAAGTTGACTAACAAAATAACCATAATTTGTGGTATAAGTAAAATAGTCTCTGCAAAATGACTGTAGATTATGCTAAAAATCTATGATTGTATTTGCCTTTCTTTTATTTGCAGCTACTTCGACGATTTCCATCTTTGCTCTTTGGCTCTACATGTTCGAGTGTGCGAACCACGTGGAGATGGTATCAGTAGCATTGCGCATCTCTTAGACAGTCTCGTACTGCGCATCAGCGTCTGGTTAGTGGCTGTGGTTGCTGGACTGGGCAACGTGGCTGTCCTAGTGGGTCGTTTTCTTTTCGCCGAGCCAAACGAAGTCCATTCCTTCTACATAAAGAACTTGTCACTTGCAGACTTGCTCATGTCCGTTTACTTGTTCGTTATCGCAGCCTATGACGTCGTTTTTCGAGGCCATTACATTCATCACGAAACAAGATGGAGGCACAGTTGGCAGTGCAACTTATGTGGTTTCCTTTCCACCCTCAGCAGTGAATCATCAGTGCTTATTCTCACCATCATCACAATGGACAGGTATAGGAGAAATTATTAATTAGATCAATGATTTCAAACTGAAGGGTGGCATCAGGTCCCCGGAGCAATTTTATGTGGCCTGCGAAAGCATTTCATAGGTATTTATTGGAAATATAGTGTAGTAAAAATTTCAAGATTATCATTAATTTACTCTCTGAGCGGCAAGGCCTTTTTCTGGAAACCGCATTAAAAATAACTATAGTTATCTTCGGAACACGCGTGTTTACCAGAATGATATTTTAGCTCCTATTTGACTATTTAATAGTTTCGATACTAAACTCTACGGTATATATTACTAGTAGCTTAATCAGGATATGTGCTGAATAGTGAAATATAGTTTATGCATCATTAATAGAAACTACGTAATTTGTTTTAAGTTTCGAGTTTCTTTAAGAAATTGCTTCGATACTGGTGAAAAATTGATCTTACATTCTTTACAGACATTTTCTGTGAAAGTACTTTTAAATATATATAGTCAAAGGGAATATATAAAACCTTTTTTCTTGTATTCCAGTTTTTCGAATATATATTATGCGCAACTTATTTTAAGTTTTAGTTTACGTTGTTTTCACTTCCATTAAAAACGAACAGCTACACCGGAAAATATATAAATGGAACTAATTAATTTGCAGTGTGATATAAATCATATTCAGTGATTCGAAGATATAGATTTTATTACCGCTTTGGGTACACAATTATTTGAATTTTGTTTTGCACTTGGAGCATATTTAACCCCTTGGCTAGTACGTCATGAATTCACTTGAGCAACGACACACATGACGTTCTCTTATGTCATTGAAACTGAGGCGAGATTTAGATCACTATGGTTTATTTCAAAGTAATGTGTATATGTTGCAATGGTCACAACCCCATAATGGCAGGAATAGAGAGTACATTTTAGCAAAGTGATAATAGTTTTAATGAAAGTAGGGATCTTGTATCAGATGAAGAATTTTATAATGATCCTTGATTGATGATCAATTAACCAAGAATCCACTTGATCCACATCTGTTGAATTCAATTGATTTGATTCTAGGTATTGCAGAAAACCGTTTCACATCAGGTACATTTTCTTTTTCTTCCCACACCCATCTAATGTTCATGAGAAGACTCATTATCAGTGCTTGATAAGCGTCTTGTATGTCTTTTACCTCTTGGAATAATTTGACTATCATTATCACTTTCTAGTTCGATATATTCTTTATCATTTTTATTATGAAATTCCCATTTATTGCTTAAAGGATCATTATAAAATTCTTCATCAGATTTAAGATCACTACTTTCATTAAAACTGTCGTTATCACTTCTATAAAATACATTCTCTATTTCGGTCATTATGGGGTTGTGTATTCCAAACAAGGCTCACCAAACTACTGAAATTATTTGTTCTGTTGCAACAAATACACATTACTTTGAAATAAACCAGAATGAACTAAACATCGTCTGTTTCAATGGCGTAACAGAACGTCATGCGCGTCTTTGTGTATCAGCGATGTTTCGACTTCTAGCTTTCTTTTCGACTTTCTTCTTCTAAATTTGGAAAAACCTTATGATTCGAAAAGGATGTTTTAGTAATATATTCAATAATTGCATTACACAACATTCACGTTAATAGCACAGAAACTACAACATTAATGCAGAAATATTAATTTTAATAGCACAGAAAATATTTTCTACTATTAGATATTAGTGCTATATAAGGCATTTCTCCCGCTTCCCTAGCGTGTCTTCGTGGTGTAGTGGTTCTTCACGCTGGGCCAGTATTCCAGAGATCCGTGGTTCGATTTCCGGAGAAGGCGATTGCTAATTTTTTATCTTGCCTGCTCCCCCCCAAAAAAAAAAAGAAATCCTAATGTCTCTACAGTGGCGCCCGAACTAAAAGGGTGTTGGATGAGAATTCTCCACACCCAGGATATGGCGATTGGGTCCCCTAAAACCCCAGGCGCCCTTTAAAAGGTGGAGTGTATAAGGTATTTTCTAACTTCTCACTGCATTCTGCCTAGGTGCCTTATGGTAGCACGCCTGGGGGCTGTATTCCAGAGGTCCGTGGTTCGATTCCCGGCGAAGGGATTGCTCATTTTTCATCTTGCCTTCTTCCAAAATACCTAATGTCTCTTCAGTTATTTTATGTATATCAATTTAGAATTTAGGACAAGATTTTTTGCTATCGAACTGATCATTTTGGGGACTACACAAAACTAGTATAAATGCAGCACCACAATAATTTAGTAAATCATTTATTTTTAATAATGTTATAAGGTATTTCTCCCGCCTTCTTAGCGTGCCTTCGGAGTGTAGTGGTCTGCACGCTCGACGCGTTTTCGACAGGTTCGTGGTTTGATTCCCGGAGAAAGCATTACTCATTTTTCACACCTTCTGCTTCCAAAAAAAACTCTATTGTCTCTACAATGTGACATTTCAAATAGAATCAATATGCAATGAAAATTTCAGTGTTGTTATAACAACTTCAGGGAGAAATATTATGCCACTGAGTTAGCCACCCAGACGGGAAAGTAGCAACTGACTCTGGCTGCCTTTCCGAAGGGCTTGAGTTCGAATCCTAGACAAGGCAGGGATGTAATATGTCCGTCCCTTCACAGGAGGTAAAGGTGACCCATCTATTAAGTGCCTCCATAAAAAAGAGACCACCGCTTCCAGCTTTAATATTAGCCAACGCTTATAAAAGGCTAGAGTCCGTCATCGGAAAGAAATAAGAACGTCATTTAATTTAATCTGTGTGCCAAAATTTAACTTCTTGATAAAAAAAAAAAAATACTCTTTCACGTTTTTAAGATATTTCATTACTTTAAGATATTATGAAAGATAAATAATAGATTTCGAATTTTAAATATGTAATTTCAATTATGAAATGCAATATATATACAAAAACCGCTTTGGAAATTTGAATTTCTTACAAGACCTATCAACGAAAGTGAAACTTCTAAAACTATTCCAGATTATGGCTACTGAGAAATTACTCTGAAAAAAAATAACGTCTGTTTCTAAGGCAGCTCCTATTAAGTTACTAAAAATCGTTTTGGTAATGGAAGATCTAAATGTGGACTAATTTCAAGGAAATAAAGTCTTTGCTTATAAGCTGTTGATCGTGAAGCTTCCTGCAGACTGTTTTATAGGTATTCTCAAATACGAAATTACATTTCTAAGTGTTCTAGATGTATCTAATGCTAGTCAAAAATAAAAACAAGGATTAATAAATATGACTTTAGGCTGTACATTCTAAGGAATCGATGCAGCTAATATTTGAAATAGCCGAATAAGTTTTCATATACTATATTGGAAAAAAAAGCTTGAATTTTAAAAGGTTATTAAGTAGATTATCGTGATCTCTCTTTTATTCGTCGTTCTCCTGTCGGAAAACACAGAATAATGACTACGTACCAGATATAAGAGGTCCTAACGAATGCTTTATTTAGAGACGCAGATAAGAATAATAATTCCACAATTAACTGTACTAACAGAATTCCCACGCATAGATTATCAATAAATAGTACAGATTATATATTTGAAAAAGCATTTTTTTCGCATAATATGTTTAGTTTGAAGAAATTAAAACTTCATCAAATTCTTGTTGACAGTTCGCAGGGAACTATTACTCAGCAATAATCATTTTAAATCTGTTAGCATACATTTGTTAATCTGCTGTACTTTAAATATTTTATTTACGCCCGTTTTGAAAAATAATTTATTATTGACAGGCTGGAAAAATCTGTTAAGGTATTTGCTCTCTACGTTCCGCCTTTTCGCGGTGTAATTGGAAGCACGTCTAGTTAGCACTCGGGAGGTCCGAAGTTCGAATCCCGGTGAGCGCACGGCTGGTTTTCAAGTTTCTTTGCAAAAATATAACATATTTTACAAGTGACGCCTGAATTAAAATGTGGTCGACGATAATTCCTCCCCATCTGGATTTGGCGAGTGGATTCCGTCTTCTCCCGCCGCCATTTAAGTGAGGGAGAATGTGAGGGATTTTCTTTCTCCTTACCGCTTATTTTCGCAGCATGTGACACGTTCGGCTAACAGTCGGAAGGTATCTATTTCGAATCTTGATGGCGGCATCGCAGAGTTTTCCTGTTTCTGTCTCCGAGAAAAGTTTTATGACTCTGAAAGTCAACATGCTATTTTTTCCCCTCGCCAACATTACTTCCTATCTTTAGCGCTCAGACACTGGTTCTCCTCTAACTAGATACATTTCGAAGGAGTTCTTTGTTTCGACATAGACTTAATTCATTAAACTCCTTAAAAATTATTTTTTATTCTTTTTATCCCTGACTACCCACACCCTTTGCCCCCTAACAAATGTTTGTATGATCTCATGGCCGGGGATACATTGATGAATTAATACTTTAATGATAAATTGAATCCAAATTCAATGGAATAAAATGGCATACATATCTGAAAATTGCCTTTACCTGAAAATTAGTTTACTCATATCAAGAGAGTCTTTGAGAGCCAGGTATTTCTTCTCAGCAAAAATATAAAGTAAACTTTGCGTTAGAGTTTGTAGAGAGGCAGTGTTTTTGAGCGGGAAAGAGGTAAAAGTAAATGGGAAAATATCTGTTACTTCTAAATAGGAAAAAAGTCAAATGTTCACACCAAATCGTTAATTGCTAAGCAATATATTAAATTATCTTTCTTGCAATGACAAAGGGGGGTAATTTAATCAACACAGTGTATAATTCGTATTGTGTTGACGAATAATATATAACGACGAAATTTTTTAAAACAATTTGGCATTATAGAAAAGCATCTAATTTTTGGAAGGAATACTGTAGAGACATCACATATCTTTTTGAAGTAGGAAAGATGAAAAATATGCAACGCCTTCGCTGGAAATCAAACCGCGGACCTCTGGATTCCGCGCCCGGCGTGCAGACCACCACACCACGAAGGCATGTCAAGAAGGCGGAAGAAATACCTTATAATACAACTCGAAGTTTCCCATATCTAATGTATTGACAAGATGAGTCAGAAATCTGGTTGGTGTAATTGTGCATTGTTCTCCATTTCCAAGGTTTATTTCCCAATGATATTTATTTCCTTTATTTTAGTCCAATGGTTCTTAACGTTTTTTGCTTCATGCACTTCTTTCAACACTGATAGAAGATCATTTCCAAAATTCGAAAAATGCACGAATATTTATTTAGGTTTAGATCATATTTTAAATCCACAGGAGGAAGTAAGTGGTGTCAAGCTGAACGTATTCCTTCCCTGTAACTATAATTTCCCCTAGGAGAAGTATTGCCTAGTATAACGTAGTATACTCCTGGTGTAGAAATCCTACTCTAGTCATTCTCTCAGTACATATGATATGATCAAACTAGTAGCCGTGTTTCTAACTCACCCAGATTTTACCGAATTTTGAATGCGATATCGAAATTATAAGGCTACAAAGGTAGATTTTGTGAAATCCACATTTTAAGCGCAGTTTAAAGCTATTTTGAACTTTTTGAGCTCGAACCTTAAGAAGTAGTTAGTTAAAATCAAATATTAACATAATTATAAATCACTAATTTTCAAGTCTAAAAACAGCTATTCCCATGCAAATTTATTCCGAAACAGATCGATTATTCTTAGTGCAAAAATTTGTAATCAAGTTTGTTTTTTAACAAGTACGAATGAAAGCTAATGAGCTAATGAAATCCATATCTTCAAATCTTTGGATAAGATTTATATCACACTTTAAATCAACTTTATAGATTTTCTGGCGTGTTATCCATGTTCTGGATTTTAATGGAAGTGAAAATAATCTCTACTCGGACTTGAAGTAGCTAAAACCTTAATCTTTGCAACACTATAACTGAACTGTCTTTCGCGGGCCGCATAAAATTGCTTTGGGGGACACATGCGTCCCGCCCTTCTAAAACAACAGTTTTAGATAATCAGGGGGTTATTAGTTGCAAAAGACATCTGTACATGACGCAAGTAAAACTTGATTGATCATTGGCGATGGTCTCTCATGTTAGAAGTTTCAGAGAACGAGTACATCCCCAGTTTCATCTTGTACATTATTATGAAATCTGCTGTTTCAGAAGTCCAAACAAACATATTACTTAGTTTTGGGGAACGAATATTGCTTATTAAATTAATTTAAACAGTAGTCAACTAAACTTTTGCTATAATATTTAGAAATGTTACCCATAATCAAACGAATGCTTAATACTACAGAGGCTGTTCACACATTTTTTAGACGATGTATATTGTATTCACAAAACTAAATTACATAACATTCTTGTGTTTTAAATGTCCTATTTGACATCCTTTATTCTGAACTATCTTTCGACACCGCAAATTCCAGGATAATAATGCCTTTTGAAGTGGCAGAAGAGGTATTCTATCCCATTCCTCCCGAACAGCTTTCCAGAGTCCTGTTAGGGTTTTGGAACAACATTTGGATAATGCAGTTTTTAAAGTCCGAAAGCACAAAAGTCCATAGGTGATATATCGGGAGATTTAGTAGAGATATCAGGGAAGGGTATGGCCTTGATACCAGTTTTTTGTTCCATTTCTTTTAGGAAATGTACAGTGGATTTTGATGTGTGATTGCTAGCTTTGTCCTGATGGAGTCTCACAGATGGATGACACTCTGGGTAAAGCGATGGTATTTCATTCAGAAAAATTGGCGATAAAATATGTTCCTGATAGTATTTGGAGTTAATATTGACATTGTTTTGCACTCTCTTTATTTTTAACTTGCAATTATAAGAAAAACCAGCAACAATTATGAATGCCTTAGAAAAACTTTCTTTCGATTCTTTGAACCATGTACTTAATTTTTTTTTCTCCCCTTTTATGATAATAAATTTTTTTTGTTACAGCCATTTAAATACACCCATGCTTCATCTATTGGGACAATTGTTTTCCATTTTTCTTTGGATAAATGTTTCTCATATAGAATTCTGCAGCGTGTCCTGCGTTGAGCGATATGCTTTGGAAGAAGACGATGCACATTGCATTTTTTCGCTTTCTTAAGATTTAAATCAACGTTTATCATTTTGTTTACAGTGGACACGGAGCATTTTAAAGATTTTGCAACTGTTTTTTGACCAGGGGGATTTTCTTTTAACATTAAACAACGTACCTTTTCAATAGTCGAAGATGTCCGTTTTTTCCTTGGATACTTGTTTGTAATTTTTTGTCCCACTTGAGGCTCCAATTTGACGTTTTTTTTTCCTTTCTTGTTGATGATATTACCTATCGACGCTTTAGATATAAAAAACCATAACTCTCACATCGTTTGGGGATAACAGAGTATGCATATTTCTCTTCGGAAAGAGCGCAAATGTAGCCTTCGAACCACTGCTTTGTTAAATTCGCCATTTTGAATAAAAACAAAACTTTCAAGCCACAGACGATAATTTTGACTTAAAAACATAGTACAATTGCAATTACTTCTTTTGCAGCAGACGATTTTTTATTACCGCTTACCAAAATTGTCTAAAAATGTGCGAACAGCCTCTGTAGAAGATATATAATTAATTTTGAATTTATATGAATTGATATAACTTATAACCATTCTGTATAACTATATCGAAATTTTCAAGATTTATCAGCTTCGAATGTCTATTTTCAGGTACACATCAATTCTATATCCATTGTCCTTGAAGCGAAGAACTGTTGCATCTGCTTCGATAGCTATGGCCGCAGTCTGGACTGTTGCAATTTTGCTGTCAGCCTTACCGTTGCTTAATATTGACTACTACGGCGATGAATTTTACGGTAATAATGGTGTATGTCTGCCACTACAAATACACGATCCGTTTGGCCAAGTAAGTAAAAATTTCATTTTACTATTGAAGCCAGTGTGTGGCTTTTACTAGCTACTCTTTGTACTCGAAACTTGACTGAGTTTAAATTTCACACTGAGTTTTACTCAGAGCAACGGAAGTTAATTCTGCGGAAGAATTTGAGATGTTTAGGTATCAGTAAATAATGCTCGTTAATATTTAGAATCACAGCTGCATTGAAGAGTCAGTCAGAAGTAAAGCAGTTGGCGCTTTCGAATATGCTACTTGCTCTAGGTGCCTCATCATCGCCAACAGTGAAACAAAATGCCTAATAAAATTTTAGGTAAAATTCCAAGAGTTTCGAAGTTCTTCAAATGACATGCTGTTATAAAAGTCATTCTTTTCCAGAGCGGGATGTAAATAAATTATCCGTTTTAGAAATAATGAATATAACGTGTGATGCATTATTTTAGATTTAACTCCTATATTTCTCTCGAGCACTTGTTAAGAGATCCATGTAAAGTGTCAACTCCAATTTTATCATATGTAGTTAAAATCAAACATTTTACTCTCATTCAAGACTATATAAATATATGAGTTTTTAATCTCAAATATATGGGAAATTGTGAATTTTATCATAATACTGAGAGCCAAAGCAAAACTTATAAGTTCAATGTATACCTGAAATGAAAATGCATCAAAACATTTCAAATAGGAACGAACTCAGTTCATTCTTTCCAAGCAACAACCAAATCGGTAAATAATTTTTGTTGCCAAACCAGGAAACAAGAGCATTTGACACTTCAGGTTAATAGGTATACGTATGACGTCATGATTTAAATTTAATGTAACGTAACACTTTTTCCTCAATACCAATGAATGAATTAACTCGATAATTCCCAACAGCAGATATTTATTTAAAATGCTGACATTAACGAAACATTTTCGACATACAATGACGTCATATACGATCGCGTACTTTCTTCAACGTCAGAATATGACCTTATGTAATAATAATATACTTAGCAATAACAAAATAAAAATCAATAAACAACAAAAATCATCTGTGAAAATTTGAAAATAAAACGTTATATTTTATTTTCAAATTTTCACAGGACTAGTTTGAATGATTCTGCGCTTTTGCATCTGAGGATGATAATTAAAAGCATGAGTTATTGTGTGATGATAATTAAAAAAATAAGCTATGGTGTGATGATAATTAAAAGAATGAATTATGGTATCGTATTTGCGATGAATTCAATACAAGTCTCATTTGCAAGGGTAATATTTCATGTTCTTCACAAAAATTATGAATTTTTATTTTACAGAAACCCATTTGCAATACAAAATATTTTAAACATTAATTTGTTTTTAAAACTTTTTATATCAAAGAACGAAAAGTTAGGATTTTAAAATAAAGGCGTTTAAAAAGCAAAAGTATACTTTCCAAACGAGAGCATTAAAGATATTTGGAATAAATTTTAGCTGCTTTATAATAACCTTTCAACTGTTTCTGCTTTCGTTTAATAGCTATTTTTATATTTTCTTCCTTCTTCAGTTTTAATAGACTATTACAAAATGCTTGCCTTTTTTCTGCCCCAAGCTAAATGCATTTATTTATTTTAAAAATTATTAGAATATTGCTGAATGTTTGAAAAAGTTGAAATGTAAAATTCTGCTTAATTTGAGTTTTGGAAACAGTTCTGCGGAAGTGAATATTTTCTTCACTAGGTATTCTGTTATCTTATATCAAGTGGTATTGTTGTGTGAGTACGAGTTGGAACTTTTTACAAAAGTGCTCGTATAGGTCTCAGTATGACAGAGTGCAAAGCAGTAGTCACCATTTCAAACTACTAAGAATGTTAAACAAAAGACAGTATGCAAAACCTCAATGTTTAAGCTCGCAGAGTGATCTGTCTGTACTCTCAATACTCTGCGCTCAACTCTGAACTCAACTCAACTCAGAACTAAAACTGAGAACTGATGCTGTCGCTGCTCTTATATAATTTTCCCACATCCGCCGAGAAATTTCCAAAACCTCCGATTTCTCGAAATTCCTGAAAGGCATATACAGTTACATAGGGCCGAATACGGTAACAGTTACGTAGGGAAGAACCGATTACAGATATATAGACATCGGACCAAAATGTCGCCAAACGGTCGTCCAATTTGGCTACAAAAATTAGTCGCCAAAACTATCGTTAGCCTGGTGCTATCTCAACTCAATGTTAAATGTACTTGTCCCTGTAACCTTATTTTTCCCTATGAAACCTTATTAAGTTTCGTTTCTTGAAGCCTTTCTTTTTAAATTATACAAGAGATCCTACAATTTACACATATATATATTTGAATTTAACAAATATTCTCTATTCGTAAAAAGCTAATATAAATTAAAAATTTTATTAAGAAATTTTAATTGCAAAAATAAAAAATAAAAATTAATTATTGCTGCGAACTAATTTACAATATCATTTAAACTCTAAGAGTATATGTTAATTAAGTGCATGTATCTAAAACCATGACCGAATTAAATTTGATAAGTGAATAATTGTTGAGCAGGCAGGAGACAGACTTATCAAGGGGAAGTTGCCTCCAAACCTAACTCTTCAATTACTCAATTCGTAGTTCGTCATCCATACAGGCAAGGGTAAAAGTAAAATTCAAAACCAAAAGTAAAAACAAATGTTGTGAATTACAAAAAAAGAAATTTAAACTAGTTGGAATTTTGAGAAATTTAGCAATTAAAATATTAATTAAATGTCAATTAAGAGTAGAAAATCAATTTTTTTAGAAAATCAAAGTAATTTAGAAACTCTTGCTTATTGAAAACTTCCCCTACACGAATGATGCATGTAAACCTAAAATAAACTATATACAATCATCCAAATATAATAATAATAATAATAAGCTAGTAAATAGCAAATTTTAATTTAACTTACCTAAATCTGCATATATATATTCACTAAAATTATTTACATATACACAAAATTCGCAACAATATTTTTTATCTGTTAACTATTAAACCAATTAACAGTGATTCAGTTATTTGTAAAATGAAAATTATCTCCCTTCTCAAACAATTATATTTAGAATATTAATAATGATAATTAATTTAACTTGCTTTGTCATTTAAAAAACGCTCAATGCGTATGGAAAATTATCTTGGTGGTTCCATCTATAAAACTTGGCGGTTAAGGCGCTTTATCTGTATATACATATTTTTCTGGCTGTATGAAATTATGTATGAAAGTATGAAATCCAGCATTCTATTGAATACTTAGGCATTTTATAGAATGCCTAAAATTGGCCGGAAATGTGCGTCACCATTAAACATTTCACATTTTGCGCAGGTATTCTATACAGTGCCGAAGGACAAACCGGCAAAGTATAAAATACATCTCCGATTCGGTTCGAATAACGGAAACGTCGTAACAGAAGTGATCAAATGATGTAAAAACGCCTAAGTAACTGCTAAAAAGAAACCTCGGATCTATTATTGGTTGCTGAATCGCTATGAAGTGATGCTTGTAGAAAGCAAGAATAAACTCAGTAAACTCGTTTATCCTGTTAAGAAGATAGTACTATACAGTAAAAGTACTATACAGTATTATGTCAAGGACACTGAGTTATTTCACGTACTTCATGAAACTCACTTGACTATTACACACAGAGCACGAGAGAAAATGTTGAAAGAACTTTGAACTACGTATAGAAAACGTTGCATGTAATGACATTGGTTTGTACGTCGACCTTTGGGAGCTCTGCTATAAAACACAGAAACGTATTAAAAATGTCACTGTTGTGAAACCTGTGAATTTTTTCTGAATTTAATTTCGCATTTTAGTTAATGCATTTTAATGTCGATCTTTCATTATTTTTTCAAAATAACATTTATATGCTGAAGGAATGAGCATCTTTTAAACTATAGCCTTATAATGACATTCTACGTGACCTCTAAGGCAGTTTAAAGCGGTGGCCTTTATGCTTTTGATATTATCCAAACCTTTGAAGAATGACTTCAAGCGTGTAGCACTGAAAAGATCATTGCTACGGTTTCAGCCACCTTCACTATGCAATTAAGTAATTTGCATAACTTAATATCAGTACAGAAACCATTGCTAGGCATCAAAGAATATCACAGAGCTACACATGTTAACGGATAATAATATAGATTTAAAATATAACCCTTTAAATTGTCCCTTGCTTATTAAAAAAATAAATTGATAGCACTGTAGATTATGCAGTAATATATCTAGGACAAAACCTCTTCGCAGCAGGTCAAGCTTAGGTCGCCTCGAGTCAAGTGAAATCATTAGATGGAATGAATATTAATTGAAGAAGTGGACTGCTCGAAACTCACTGGAAAGTTTCCTTGCAATAATGAAGCATTACAAGAGATGGATAGAATGAGAAATTATGGACCACCATCAGCTTTATAAATTAGAAACAAAAAAAGTTTAATAATGTTAATAAAAAGTGGCTAAAATAAAATTTATCTTTGTTGACCTAAGTAGGAATTGACTTCAAAAAATGTTTTTAAAGATTTTTTAGCTTAAGGATTTAGCCTTTATCCTAATACTACATATATTCATGTATTTTTCTTTCCTATTTTCAAGGCATGGGAATATTCTACATTTTTATTCTGCGGCTTGAATATGGCAGCTTTTCTGTTCATCTTTTTTGCCTACATCTCCATGTTCTTCACCATTTCCCACTCCAAGATAGGATTACGGTCTACTCAACAGCTGCAAGACCGTACTATTGCCAAGAGGTTCGCCTTCATCGTGGGCACCGATTTTCTCTGTTGGGTTCCTATAGTTCTCATCAAATTCATAGCCATGGGTGGTAAGGAATAGTTTGTACTTTATGTTTCATTATGAGCAATAACTGATGTTTGCTTTTTCAGATTCGAGAAGTAATGTCACGGCGTAGTTTGGTTACAGCGATCGTGTCAGTAGTTAAACAACTTGTGCGGTGCAGTTTCTTGGAAACGTACATTTAAGAAGGGTATTTAAATATGTCACTTTATTTATTTATTATTATTTACATTTTATAATTATTTATTATTATTCGAGTCCCTTTCGTCGGGACTCGAACCCCCTGCCAGTGTTCAGTCGCTTGTCCTCTCGGCCGCTAGTGGCCCTAAGCAACTGCTGTAACACCGAGTTCCTCAGGAATTTTTGCAAGCCATTAACAGTACGCATCCGGTGTTACTGTATGCTTACATAACTTCGTGTTGGCGCAACAGATATTTCCCAGCCGTCTCGAAACTTGGTGAGGTGGTGCTCTTCCTTAAAGCGAACGAAGACCCTAATGTACCAACGTCTCTTATCGGCCTATTTGTCTCCTTCCTGCCTTCGGTAAAGTACTAGAGAAAGTCGTCTTTGAAAGATTTAAACACTATATCCTGTCTGGACAGAGTATAAGTGAAAAACAATACAGCTTCATTCCTGGGAGATCGGTGGATCACGCGCTGCAGCACCTACGAAAAATAATAGCAAATAACAGGAAGAAATAACCAGCATAGTCTCATTATCTCTTCCGACATGCAGGGCGCCTTCGACTCGTTGTGGTGGTAAGCGATTACAGGACATGGGTTGCCCTAAGATCCTCTTTGACCTTATTTACAGCTACCTGAGTGATCGCCGCTTACAAGCCACTACGGACATAGGAGCGCACTCACGACCCATCAATAACGTCTGTCCTCAAGGACCCCTTCTGGGTCCACTGCTTTGGAATCTTGTAGTCGACACAGCGTTGCATCTCTTTAACCATGGAAATACTGGCTTATGCCAAAGGGCACAGCCGCATTGCTTATGAGACTAGGGCTCAACAAGCAATGGACAGAATGGCCAAATGGGCCAATGGTCATAAGTTAATTATTGCCAACTCAAAAACCCAAGGTATGCTTATTTGCCCAGGTAAGCGCCATCGAAGAACCCCCTGCATCAACCTTCATGGCAAAAATATTAAAATAGTCAGAAACGTGAGGTACCTTGGGGTTGTAATTGACGACACATTCACTTGGATGCCACATTTAAAGGAGGTCAAGGCACGACTTCACAGGATATTTCATTCCATGCTCAGGACAGCAGCACCAACATGAGGAATTTCTTCGAAGATGTTTAAGACGTGGTGCTCTGTAATTGCTGAGAGTATTGCATTGTATGAAGCCTCCATCTGGGGCCTCATACAATGGAAACAAACATTTATTTTGAAATGAAGCGTCCAGAAAGATTCATAACAACCATTTTGTTCATTTTAGAAATGAAAAGGGTAGTCACCAAATCAAGTAAGAATTAAAAGATATTTTTCTCTTCTGATGATGAGGGATTTATGTCTAATCAGCTTTGATTACAATACAGTTTTATTCAAACTGCGCCAGCTTAAGCTGCTTTATACTTACTAAAAATTCCAAGTCTTTCATTTGATGTTAAAACTAGCTGCACTAGCAGCTAAACTTTAATCATGAACCGTAATATCTGCAACTTAATTTCAAGTCTCTTTCTTAAGCCTTTCTTAAACACTTTTTAACTAGGTGTGGAAATCCAAAAGGATCTTTATGCATGGGTGGCTGTGTTTCTACTTCCTGTCAATTCTGCCCTCAATCCAGTGTTATATACTCTGACGACCAAACTTTTCAAGCAACATCTTGCCAAAATTGTGTATAGCTGCAGAACTACAGCACATGCAGCGAATGACAGCTCGGGAATATCACTCAATTCCATCCTGCATCATCGTAATAGCTCCAAAAGGACTTTGGTGACTACATTTTCAGAGGTAACTGGTGTTTTCTTAGTTTTCCTTTAAAACTAATGACCAAAGAATTTAAGGATTATCTTTATTCCTTGGTCAATAATGTTGTGCAGTTACAAACAATGATATAAAAATAATAAAAACCTAATTTAGATTTCAGACTACAAAAATCAGTGTTATATTTGCAAATTTTCACAGGATTGGTTTCAATGTTTTTTCCGAACCATCATTCTCAGCTGCCAAAGCGAAAATGAACGAGATAAGGTATAGGGATTAGATAAGATAAGAAAGGCTGGACAAGAGTTAAACTACTGGCGCCATCTATTGATGAAAACGAGAACTGAAACATAATTTCCTTAAAGAGTGAAGGCAAAGATGGATTGGAATTAGGGTCGTTAACCAGAACAGAAAGATTTTCCTGAATGTGAAACGCCTCCAGAAAATCCAGTTCACCAATGGAAGACTTTATTGAATACTTTTTTCTGCATAAAAATTGAAAGTATGATTTTCGGACCAACAATGCTGGGCAACAGAGGACTTCAGTATTTCCTTTTACCTAACATATGCCTCATCTTCCTTAACGCGAAATTCTAAGACTCTCTTAGTTTGGCCAATGTAAATTAAACCACACTGACAAGGAATCCTGTAAATACCCCATGAACTCATGGGTCCTTGAGTATGGAAATCGGAATTTTATGGATAGGAAAATAAACGATTCGAGAGTTAAATCTGTGCAAAATACGTGCAATTTTTGTTGTCTGAATTCTAAATTAATAAAACCTTGTTAGAGTATTAATGCATGACCGAATATCTTATGGATACTGGATATAATATCTTATGGACTTTTGCATTTTTCTTCTGCGTATGAAATATGAGATTATTATTTGCTTCATCAAATTCAAAAATGAAATTATTATTTTTTAATTCTTGAATTTGTTGCATATTACGGAGTGTATATTACTGCGGATTAGAAGTCATGTAGTTACACTTGTAATCACATACAGTTATACAGATTAAAAAATGCGGTTTAAGCTAAGAGTTAAGATGCCCTTATATGTCAGGTCTTTCAAATTGTAAGATATCTGTATTACAAATTGTAATATAAGAAATAATATCTTATTTTTTATATTAAATATTCCAGTTAACTTCTACTTTATCCCTTTAACTTAGTCAGAAATACAAACTGAGCGACAATAAATAACGAGTGAAAGTGCAATTTAGAAGCAAAACGCCAGCAATTTTAAGCCAGTAACTCTGTAAACATTTCCGCTTAGAAGTCACGCTTGTGTTGGAGCCGGGTTATTAGATTCTACTTTATAACCTCCTCTATAAATTCTTAAAATTATCGTCGCAGCCTTAAGCCACAAGAAATTGCTTCTGTTAACGTTTCAGTTTTGCATTTACCAGCCAATAATACAAATAAATTTTTCGTTTACTTTTACTATTGTCATACTGAAATTTGTGCTCCTGGATCCTGAGGTAAAGATGCGACTGCAATTCTTCTGTAGTCTGGAAAATTAAACATGTTTATATTTAGAGTAATTAGGTTTAATTAAAAAATCAACCTTATAAACTGAGTTTAAATTTACGTGAAATACCTATTCAAATGTGTTATGGGAAAACTATTTCTAGCTGTAGTAGAACAGTTACAGCCGAAAACATTGCTGCAAGAACATCGCAGACGAAAACGTCGAGGAGAAAACAACGCAAGGCGAAAACGTCGTGGGAGAAAATAAAGCGGTCCAAAAGCTTCGCAGTTTAAAAAACAGCTTCGTCGAAAATATCGTTGTAAAAATAAAGTACCTCCAAATCATCGCATGACGATAACATCGCACACATGCGTTTTTCAGATTTTAAAAGTTGTAAATGCATTTTCGCATAATGATCTGGCAGTACAAGAAGGAAAGAGAGTGAAAATGTTAACAACACTTTAAGAATAAACGGAAAAAAGGCAAGATATAATTTTCATTAAAACAATAACAGATTAACAAACGTGAAAGAAAATAATTTGATAATTAACTACGCAATTTGTATAGAGTAACCTGATGCAGTTATTTATCTTTTTGTTTATCTAAAGGTTTTTGGACTGTATTTTTAATGAAAAATTATCAGTAAAACTTTAATAAAAATTAATATATTTGTAATTAACTCTGCAAGTTTGAAATTAAGTGCTGTAAGTTGCATTAATTTTCTTTTCATTTTCAGTTTTTAAGTGCTTAGGTTTCCTTTTTACTTTTTTCAGAAAACGTTATCAGTTCAATCAAAAATATGAGATATAGAAGTGAAAACATTCCTCTTTCCTTCTTGCGTTCCCAAATCATTATGCGAAAATGCACTTACTTTTAAAACATGGGGGGGGGGAATGTGTACAATGTTATCGTCATGCGGTGATTTGTAGGGTCTTTATTCTTTACCACGATAGTTTCGACAACGGTGTTCTTACTGCGAAGTTTTTGAACTGCTTTATTTTCGACCACAATATTTTAGAATTGCGATGTTTTCTCTTTGCTTTCTTTTCTCCCGCGATGTTTTGTACTAAGACGTTTTTGCCTTGCGGTGTTTTCTCCGCGACGTTTTCGTCCGCAATGTTTTCTGCCAGTAGAACTCGCGAGTTTCTGCTCATTTCAAAACAACATTGTGTTAACGTCAATAATGTTCTATGTTTCATTTAATATTATTTTAATAGCCTTTATTTTAAAAAAACTTCGATATTTTCAGATATCAATTAAATCGATATTTTCAGATATCAATTAAACGAATATCAAAAGAATCGATATTTTCAGATATCAATTAGCAGTTAATACATTATCCAAACAATTCAGACAAGATTAAGAAGATCGTAAGGTATCCGACTACGTTCTAATCGCCAATTTTGATGAAATTTTTCAAAAACATTTTATTAGTTTATTTTCAAAACAACTTTTGTTTTGTCATTTCTGTCGTAGAGAAGCAATTATGGTTATCCTTGTTCTAACGCAATAAACTGGAAGTTTCTGTTTTAAAGCCTGGAACCTGTTGCGTAAAGGAGTATTCTAAATAACTTTAAAATGAGAATGTTTCATTTGAATGCTTTGGTGATGTTCAAAAGATTATTTTGAACCTTTCTATTTGTTAGTAAATGCTCGGGAACAATTACTTATGCAACTTAGTTTTCATACTTGGCAACAGTTTTTACCTCCTTATGTTTGAATTACATTAAGCCTATTTTTTTGAAAATCTTCATTTTTTTTCAACTTTTCTGTTTGTTAACAAAGCGTTAACTTCAAATATTACTATAGTAATTTTATGAAAATCTCCACAAATATTTTGTGAAGTATTATGAATTAAATGGATTAAATGTTTAGGTTTAATGCACATATTTAAATTTTTTTCAGACAATTTTATAAAAGAAAAGAGAGAAATTTCTCGAAAAATAGCTAGTGCACGTGCTCAAACAGGTATATTCAATAGACATTTTAACTCATCATTTAGATTTTAGTCCATTTAATTCTTTAGACCTTAATAAATATAAGTAAAAAATATCAAAATAAAATGTTGATAAATATTTTTGCGGGAACATATCTGATAGACCTGAAATTTAACACACTTTTAACCAAAAATGTAAGAAAAAATGAAAAATTATACTTCGGTAACAGGTTTATCTTTCATTTTTATAATTTTAAGTAGTATTCTGCTAAATAACACTAATAATATATTTATTTGTACTATTTTCTGAGATTTGGGTGTCGAACGTATACGGGTTTCGTACCTAGGAACACCGACAAGAGCCCTTAAGCTGTGCTTTTAATATGTCTATTTCTTATTCAGTTTAAATAAGTTGTTTTTTCTTCCTCTTTTGATAAGCCACATTTTATCAGGAAGAGGCTTGTCCAATACTCAAAGACTAACTTACTGAGAGTCTGATTGCTGTAACTTTAGCTGTGGCATATTTTTCTTGAATTGTTGAAAATAACTTCTATGTTAGTGCTTTTTGTAGCGGCAAAGGGGGAGGGCTGAAATCCTTATCATGTTATTTTTACCATGCAAAAGAAATTTTACAAATAACTGATCGAAACTATTGGAGAAACCATACTAGAAAAAAGGGTATCATTTAAAAATACTAAATACACTCTGCCGACTTCGGGAGGGTAAAGAATGCAAATCTATTTTCCTTCAATAAAACTTTTTTGAGATTCGAATAAGAAAGGAGAAAATAAAAAGAAAGATACAATATAAAGATAACTGCTTCATATGACATATTTTATGCCTTTAAATATAATTAATCTAATGCATTAAGGATCATGTATTGTATTCAATGAAACACCTACGCAAGATATGCATTTAATCGCATATTGGAATGATACATTTAAAGGAATTCAAAACTTTGAATTTTACATAAATTATAGCTTCAAACTTTGCGGTTTTAATTGCATCTGAAAGAGATTTTTATCAAATTTTCTGATAAGCCAATAAGAAAACCGATGTTCATTTTTGAATTTTAGAAATGTTCAGGTATAGCTTCAGCCTTTTGATTTTGAACTGTTGCCATAATAAATTTTTATTTACAATGCAAATGTAAACAGTAGATCATGGGACTAAAAGATTCTAATGATAAGGCATATTGATAATATTGCTTCATATCGGTAATCTAAAAGCATTGCGACTAATAAATAACAATTTTTCTCCATGATTTTATTATATCGTGCATCATACTTTCAATTTAATCCGAATTACAGCAGTTATAAGCTTACGTGTTTCTTCTACTTACACTGCCCTTAAGTATTTGTCTGACATAATTACGACCATCAGCAGGAAAGTAACTAAACTTCTTTTAAGATTGTTTCACAGACGTTTTCACATACATACAGTAAAAGCCTCATGGGCTTTGAAATATTAAAACCTAGTAACTTATTTTCGAGAAAGAGATAAAAACGCTCTGTTATATCTTTTCAGAGAGACAACAATTCCTTGAACAGAACATCTTTGCTCGTTCCAGACAGCCCCGGAAGAGTACGAATATGTTCTTCGGCCAAGAAGAGGAAAGAAATTCCCTCGTATATTCGCGAAGACATGATATAAAGAGACTTTTCCGTCATATCTCAGGCTGAAGAGTGTGGAAAAACGTTTCTACAATAAGTGCAGGAAATTCTCTTTTTATTCTTTGTTCGTCGATATGTTTGTTTCCTATCATCTGACAGAACAATTTTGCCATTTACATCTGAGTGTATAATGCATGTGTGCAGTATTTTGTTGACATTTAAGTACGTATGAGTCGAATGTATTTTGCAAGTGCTAGTGAATTATTAGACTTTCCAGGAAAAGCATTTGTCCAAATATATTTGTTTGTGCTTATACATCTTTTCTCGGTGGTGCCATGTTTCCGTAGTTAAGGAATGAGGAAAATGTTCGGCCTAAATTGTGTTGATATGAACCATATAAAATTCTGAGAAATGCTGGATTTAAACGCTACAATATATTTCTATGTTTTAGGCTATGGATAAAATGATGGAAAAGTCTACGAAGTTACCACAATGGAGTTACGTTAAATTCTCCATTGTGCTGATTGTAGAACAAATGATTTCTTGTATCGGGAGTCTTTTACTCTTTAATTCCTATTTGCGCAACATTATTTATAAAACAACTCAAATATCAATTATAATTCAATAATTTGTTAATGTACTATAGGAATTATGCTATTTTATTCAGCATTTTCTCAGGGACTGCAAATAAAGTAGTTAAAAATAATTAAAAACTTAAAGAAAAAATAAAGAAGACTCTATTAAAATATTTAAAGATTTAAAGACAAAATAAAGAAGACTTCCTTAAAATATTTAAAGACTTGAACACAAAATAAAGAAGAATTCCTTAAAATATTTAAAGACTTAAAGACAAAATAAAGAAGAATTCCTTAAAATATTTAAAGACTTAAAAACAAAATAAAGAAGAATTCCTTAAAATATTTAAAGACTTAAAAACAAAATAAAGAAGAATTCCTTAAAATATTTAAAGACTTAAAGACAAAACAAAGAAGACTTCCTTAAAATATTTAAGACTTAAAGACAAAACAAAGAAGACTACTTCCTTAAAATATTTGAAGACTTCAAAACAAAATAAAGAAGTCTTCCTTAAAATATTTAAAGACTTAAAGAAAAAATAAAGAAGACTTCCTTAAAATATTTAGACTTAAAGACAAAATAAAGAAGAATTCCTTAAAATATTTAAAGACTTAAAGACAAAATAAAGAAGACTTCCTTAAAATATTTAAAGACTTAAAGACAAAATAAAGAAGACTTCCTTAAAATATTTAAAGACTTAAAGACAAAATAAAGAAGAATTCCTTAAAATATTTAAAAACAGTGCCCGTACAGAGGCATTTCGCACATATTTTAGACGATTTTTATTGTACATACAAAAATAGTTTACCTAAAGTTGTATTTATATCTTCTACTTGACAATTCTTATTAATCACTGTCTTTCTACTCCTTAATTTCAAAGACGATAAAGGCTTTGGTATTATCGGAAGAGCTATTTTATCCCATTCCTCTTAAACAGCTTCTCAAAGTCCAAGGAGGGCTCTAGATTGAAATCCACAGGTCACGAAAGTTAGGGATATGAGTGAAGGATGTGGCCTTGATACTGGTTTCTTGTTCCTTTTTTTCCAGGAAATTAACAGTAGATTTTGATGCCTGGTAGCTTACTTTGTCTTGATGCAGCTCTACCGATTGATGAGTAAAGACAAGGTGTAGAGACATTAGATTATTTCGAAGCAGGAAAGGTGAAAAATGAGCAACGCCTTCCACGGGAATCGAACCAAGGACCTCTGGAATACGTGCCCAGCATGCAAACTACTACACCACCAAGGCACGCTAAAAAGGTGGGAGAAATACCTTACACACTTCCCATTTTAAAGGGCGAATGGGGTTTAAGGGACCCAATCGCCAAATCCTGGGTGTGGAGAATCATCGCCCACCACCCTTTTAGTTCGGGCGCCACTGTAGAGACATTAGGATTTTTTTTTGAAGCAGGAGACTTGAAAAATGAGCATCACCTTCGCCGAGAATCCAAACACAGGCCTTTGGAATACGCGCCCAGCGTAATGATCACTACACCACGAAGGCACGCCAGGAAGACGGGAGAAATACCTTATAAAGGTATTTCATATTTGAAAATTAAATGTTAAAAATGTGAGATTTATGTTAACATTTGCCCCCACTCTCTTTAGTTTTAACTTGCCGTTGTACAAAAAAACCAACAACAATCATAAATCACTTTGATTCACTCACTTTCTTTAGATACTTTGAACCATGTTTTAATATTTTTTTCTCTTCTTTGGTGACAATAAATGGATCTCTTTTTATTGCAGTCATTTAAATACACCCAAGATTCATCTATTGTGACAACATTTTTCCACTTTTATCCAGATAAATGTTTCTCAAAAATTCTCATAGAATTCTGCAGCTGGTTCTGCGTTCGGCGATATGTTGTGGCGAAAGGCGATGCGCATTATGTTTTTTCCGCCTTTTTAATATTCAAATCAATAGTAATCATTTTGCGTACAGTTGACACTGAGCATTTTATTGATTTTACAACTTTCCTTTGCATTGGCGGGTTTTCTCTTAACATTAACGATCTTACCTTTGCAATATTCGAAACACTCTTTTTTCCTTGAATATGTAGTTGAAACAATTTTTCCACTTGAAGGCAAACTCTGACGTTTTTTTCTTTTTTGTTGACAATATTACCTATAGTAGCTATAATTAAGCTAATAAATATTCTATAAGCGGGGTAAGTTGGCGCCAAACTATTTTGGCCTTCAAAATTTGGAATTTTTTTGCGACAACGAAAGCACTAAGATGTGATTTTTAAACATAAACAGAATAGTAACTTTTAAGTTTTGCAGTAATGAAACGCCGATATTTTATGTAAACAGAAATAGTGCAATGAGATGATAAAATACTAGATGAGTAAAACAATGTCCAGCAGATTTGCAAGTAAAAACACAGTCTTATCTATGTAATTCATCATAAAATAGTAGAAAGAACAATTCTTGTAAATAATTATTGAGTAAATAAATATATACACTTATCAGATAAGAGCACTGCGAAGTGAATTTTAAACGTAAACAGAATAGTAAATTTTTGTGTACAGGGATGAACTGCGATTATTATGTGCAAACAGAATAGTAAATGAAATTTATTAAATGATAAAACAACGTCGTGGAATTCAACACACTAACATCTTTTGTTCAAAACTTCAAAACTTTAAATATTCCACATCTTCGATTGCTACATGCAAAAAACAAAACTAAAAAAAATGATTAACTAAATAAAATTAAATGAAAACATTCATAACTTCACGTCATCTGAAATCCAACATTCTTCCACCACCAACAGCTTAACCTTCTGCAAATATTTATATAAATATAATATTAAGCATATATATAATAATAAGCAGTAAAACTTTTTAAAACAAACACAGTATTTCAAAGTTAAATTTAAAAATTCTTCCCTGGCTGCACTAAATTCGCACTCTTACAGTTACCGAAATAAAGCTTTAGGTTTGCCACAAAAAAACATACTGCGGGAAACCACATCCAAATCAAAATCGCGCCAAATACTCTCGCCATGTTTGGCGCTCACCTCGATTATGGGATATTAACTTATAATTACACAAAAGACCATGGTTTTCACAGCGTTTTTTAATAACTAGATATTCCTCGAAAAGAACACAAACATACCCTTCTCTCCATTTTTTCTTTAAAAGCGCCATTTTTCATGAAACAAAACTATTAAGTAGCAGAACACAATTTATACTTTCAAAAATGTGGCTACAGTTAGAACAAATTTCCAAGCAAACGATTTTTTAGAGAAAAGCAAAATCGTCTGAAAAGTGTTCGAAAAGCCTTTGCAGTTAGTTTACCGTAAATGTTATTGGATTTTATTTTATTTCAAAATCGTAACAATTTGTCTGTTAAAAGCGTAAGAAATGAGTGATTTAGAAAGGTATGTAAAGTGTGTATTAAGTATTAAAGCATAAATAATTTATGTAAGTATAAGTGAAAAAGTATAATTAAAAAACTATTCAGCATAGTATTTAAAAGGCAGTTCTTATAACATTTACGCTATGAGTATAATTAATGAAAGAGGTTTTTATCGCCAGCCATAAGAAATATGATCTAATAAAAAAATTGTCATTTTTATAAATTTATAAGCTGAATCTTTAAGAGCTGTGTGGAAAAAACTAAGAAAAATTCAGGATGTTAAATATTTGTATTTTCTACTATTCATTTCTAAAATTCAATAAATTGCATATACAATTTTAATTTTCCATTTTATTTGCATATCGTTTTATATTTTTCTTACAATTTTTATTTTTAATTTATTAAAAACTCATCATTTTTGTGAGACATTTAGATTAAAGAAAAATTGAAGGTTTTATAAAACAGACTGAAAAAGAGGAAGATTCAAATAGAAGAATCTTATTTTAATCAAATATTTCAAAAGCTGATAGTCGTTTCTTTATATAATTGTTGGCGTATTGAATGATAATAGTACTTTTGAAGTTTTATCTAAGCATATTACATTCTTCATATTTGCTTTAAACTACATACGTGTATCTTTATAGTAATTTCATATTATTTTACTGTACATATGAAGAAGTCCTTTTTTTATATATTACTCATGTTATATTCGTACTATAATTTTATATGTAATTTGTCATTCGCTACAGATGTATATATAAATTATAGGTGAATGGTTAAAATGTATATAGAAGAGTCATATTAAAATATACGTATATATTTAATGTTGTTAAAATCTCAGTTTCCGTAATACAAATGAATGTATTGCTATATTTCAAGTTTTATTTATATTATGAAGTTGTGTATTACTATGCTGATAAGAAATAAAGTTACTTAAGCGTTAAGTCTGGAATAGAAAGGAAATATTCATTTATTTTCATAATATTAAATAATTACAAAGGTAAATTACCTGAATTTGCAGTGTTCTAGGAACGAAATTCTATATATCAAATCCGAAAAACTGTATCCATAATTTGTTCTCTTCAAGAATAACTTTAACCATTTTACAAAATATGATGTGTACACCATATGACTTCCTTGCATGGAATATTAAATTATACGCATTTTTTCCTGCATTTAATTTAAACTTATTTAATTAAATCTACTTTGTCGATAGCGCATAAAACACAATAGCATAAATGCACTCCTTAAAATTCATTATATTAATTACCATAGAGACACTTTGGCGCTAGGTTCACTTAACAGCGTCACATCTCATTCATTTTATAACTCAGAATGCGTAAAAATTATATCACCTGGAGAATTATTTAATCGTTGCAACATGTTCTCTTCCAACACTATAATAAATCTAAAACGATGTATAAAAGAAATTAGACAAATAACAAAGAAACAGGTGTTCTTGCGAAGCTTACTTTCTTTAGATTGGTAACAAATCCATTACTCTGCTAAGTTTCAAATGTAAACAAATATGGCTGCTATTGTAAAAAAATTAGGCTTAGTCGCAGTTAAGCAACTTTTAAATTGTTGATAACTCCACACATATTGCATGAAGATTTACTAAAGGCATAAAAACCTTTAATTGGAAGATAAGAACAACATAATTCAATCATTTTTAAAGCAAAAAAATGCACAACTTACCAACATATATGAATAAAGAAAACTGAGCTCACGGATCTCAGTAACAGAGTGGATATATATATATATATATATTTAACTTTTGGTGCTGCCGATTGCCACCAAAAAGGGAGGTGCACAACTACTACCTATAGTTGTCCTATATACAAAATTTCAACGTTCTGAAGC